ATCGCCGGTAACGATACGAAACAGTCACTTTACGTCCACATGGAAAGTCCCTCGTTGATCCTCCTTACTTTATGCCAAAATTTTCCGCATCGAATCACGGCATCCTCGATCCTCTCTAGACCCCGCGTTCCTCTAAATCAACCGTATTAAGCGGATGTCGCCTTTAAATCCCGCAACAAATTCGCGAATGTGGCGCAAACGTTTTACTGGGACAAACAGGCGTAATTCTCATCCTAAATAACAATAATAGCGACGATTCGTCTTGGCGATTTGTACGTACGATGAGGAAGAGAGAGAAACTGGGGAACGCAGGAAGTCGGTAATGCAAGATCTCAAGAATTATTCTTGTTCATCGATGATCCATGTGTGTGTACTATTTGTTAGTATTACGATTTCACGATATCGAAATTTCTGCGAATTTTTTCGGTGATATGAAAAAATATAATTTAATTTCTCTGCGAATCGATCAAGTTTAAAGACTTTTCATCGATCTACTATCCTTCGAAGTAAACTGGATCACCTAAAATAATAGGAAATTCCATAAAGAAAAATTGAGAAAGATAGGGTTAATTGGGAGGAGTTAATAACGAACCGTAACGTATCCACAGAAGTCCGACGAAGGAAAAGCTGGAGCCATGGACGAAATGAAAGAGACAAAGAAACATCGCGACACGCGAGATCACAATAGAATCAAGCCACCCCGTAAAGCAACGAGGCTTCCAAATCACCAATCACAGCCGAAAGCACGATCCTCCAGCTGGACTGATCGCGAAAATTTAGCCACGATACGTCGCGAGAACAAATTAGAAGAGTAAGTAAGAGGCTGAAACAAGACGCCTAACTCTCGCGAGTGATAAAACTATCAGGAAAGAAGGACACGTAACGACGTCGTTAAAATGGCCGGGGAAAAAAGGGCGGCCTTGGCAAGCAGGCTTACCTCTCTGCCCGTAACTCTCGCGCTTTTGTACGAGCCGGGAATCGCGTCTGGTTCCGCGAAGCTCCGTCGCGAATTCCCTTCTCCGGTGAATCCCCTTCGAACGTCGGATTATTTTTGCCGGTGGCGGGTGTGTCGCGCGGACGTGTGCCGGTCGAAAGTCAAAACACGGGGGGCCACCCTATATCAAACGTTTAATTGGGTGCTACGTCGCCTGGTAGGAATGTGAACGCCGGTATAAATTTAATGAGACACGCCGGTTCCTCCCGTTCCCGTTGTCTCGCCGTAAAACGCGAATGATTTTTAATTTAACGCCACACCCGCGCAATTTGTCTCCGTGGAGCACGTATACGAGCCGAGAAATCTTCGATCCGAACGAGCTGGGCGGAGATGATGAAACGATTCGGCGAAAAAATACGAAAAGGTGACTATATAAATCATCGAAGATCGTAAGTTTCGTTACGATGGCTGTGTCTTTAGGGTTCTTTTCAGAATTCTTCGTTTTTCTTTTATCTTTTTCCTTCTCCCTCTCTCTCTCTCTCTTAGTTGGCGATATTAGGTGATATCGCGGGATTAAATGGAAGATTAGAGGGTTTCGAAGAGAGACGACGCGAAGGAAGAGAGTTTTCTGCTAACGAATGCTAATGGGTTCGCAGCTATTTCGACGGAGTTCATCTGCTTCCTGCTCGAGAGATGAGTAGGCGACAGTCGGCCAGACCACTATCCGTCTTGTTCCTATACGATTTTAGTTTTCCAATTGCGCGGATTTCTGGAAGATGCGTCACGTCTGATTAACGACGCCCTCATACTCGGAATACGGCCCTCCTAGCCTACCACGATTTCCCGTCGATCCGCCGTGAATCACCCCTTTCGCTCTCGATATAAATACGAGGCCAGTGTTATGTAAGTAAATTAACCCTTTATCCGAACCAGAGTCTTCTCGATAACTTTCCGAGCCAGTTCTCGCGAGCCTCTCGATTATCATACATCGAGTATAAAAATAAGACGAAGCGACAAGATGGAACGATAAAATGCCCGTCGATCTATCTCTAGATCTGGACAGAGATCCTCCAATTTCTCGAGGAGTAAAGAGAACGATTCGAGCGCTGCCCGAGCAAGTGGAAAATAATACTCGGATTAATTTGCAACACAACGTGCTGCAACGGTTCCTTTGTCAGCGAGTTCTTTCGTCGAACGACGTTCTCCATGTCGGTCCATCGGCTCTTTTTTCCCTGCAACCCGGGGTTGAGTCACACGCAGCCGGGAACGCAGAACTTCGTAAAACGAAGAGCAAGAGGGAGCAACTTAATGTCAGTAACGCCACGTTTCTCCGCAACTTCGTGTTCTCCACGTGCGCTTTTGGTCAGATCGTCGTTGTTGCCCTGTCTTTATCCGGCAGCAATAATTCTTTCCCCTAAGAAATTTACGGTGCAGCTCTTGTCAACGATTTTTATCGGCTCTGTACGCGCCGGTGTCATCCCCCTATTATTTTTTCCCCCCTCCATCGCTCGAATTCGTCTTTTTGAGGCCGCAACCGGGGAGGAAAGTAAGAAATACAGTTCGGCGGTAAATTATCGTCACCGTTGCAGCACTGCCTCGCGGACTTGATCACCCTTCCGTTTTAGAAAAACGCTACCCCTTCCACCCCGGTGAGAAAACTCTTTGTTAGCTGCCACGCTATATTTTGCGTCTACGACTATTAATAAAAGGACTCGATTATACGCGATTACGGTATTAAAAGAGAAATTGCCGCAGGAGGCTTAAAGGTAAAAGCTCTCGAGCTTCGAGGTTTACGCTTCGTCGCGTTGCGAGACTCGAATTAGTTCGATAAATATATTTCCAGATCGATTGCTCTATTCGCCAACGGAATTACCCAAACGATCCAGAACCTCTGCTTTGTATCGATAAATATAACGAGAAGGGAACGATTTTGATGGAAAGGAGAATGAAACGAAAGCTCGTTTTATCGTAAATACGGTAATAACGTCCTTCCATGGAGCTCGCGTTCTAAGATCGTAGGAGCCAAGCGTTAAAGTAATTAACGACTCGGATAAGAATCCTCGTGACGATAGGATGACGGGAAAAGGAGGAAGCCGGTACGACAAAAGCAGAATCACGGGGTGGCATTCGTAGGATCGTGCTCATCGGCGACCTCGAAGCGTATCCCATTGGCTAACTGTCGGTGTACGACGAACCGAAGAGTTGGTGTTTGCTCGTGGACGGACAACGACGTCACGGTTCTATTCCCGGCTGCGTGGACGCAGCGATATCTTTAGAGCAACCATCGGTACAGTCCGTTTCCGAGCTTTCCTTCCTACGGGACAGAACGCTTTGCCAGAGGATGAACGGAGACGACAAAGATGATTCGTTTCGACCCATTATTCCGTCGTCGTGGCGCACCGCAACCCCTCGTGTCGCCGTTTCGTTATGTCGACATAGAGATGGCGTCCGATGCACCCCATTCGAGTATCGATTCGATAGATTAACGTCGTAGCGCGATTATCGCGTACGCGAATCTTCCCACTCGATATTCCTCTATGTGTTCATCGAGACGAGGATAATTGGAATACGCGTGGTATAATTGCTCGCTGGTGGAAAATCTAAAGTAATGGCAAGAGAGATACAAGCGAATGGTTTCGCAGCGATTCTTCGAACCCGATCCCGCGCGAGAGTAATTTATACGAAGACTACGATCAAAGGAGAGCTTAAGGTATCCCGCTGAGGAAAGTTGTATGTCACTGTCTCGACGAAACGAACAAGAGATTCGAGTGGAATCCATCCGTTCGTCCGTCTCCAGGACGAAGAAGACGGCGCGGATTCCGGAAGCGTAATGACCGAACTTTCGAATTGATGTATCCCTAAATAAAGCGAGCACGACTTCGGTTGTACTGTCGATTGCAGTTGGTAGCCTATGGCTAGTCTCCACATTGAACTATCTGTTGGTCTTGGAACCGCGCCAATCGGCGTGGAAAAAAGTAGGGGTGAGAATAAGATTGATGCCGTGCAACCAACGGAAACGAATCGTCTCTAATGTGCAAAATAACCGAAACTAAGCGTGAACTCCGTTCGAAAAATGTAACTTCGCGAGGCTCGAGTTGAAGGAACGTGAAAGAACGGTAGGAAAAGAATAGAATCGATTTATGGATCAAAAGAGATAAAGGGATATTGGCTTGTTAGTTGTTCGTACATTTTCTTATTTTTCTTGTTCGTCTCTTTTCTTTCGCGCGATTAGCTATGTCAGGCTGAAATATTGACCTGGAAAATGGATAACTTCTATTGAAAGTGGCACTAGGCCAAAGATAATAATCTTAATCGGACGGTGCCATCTTGTGTGGCATCTTTGTTTGCGATTGCACGTAAACGCGCGAATGGTATCGGTCTACGACTATTTATTGGGCAAAGTTTATTTGCCCAGCGGACGTTGCAACTTAAAATCATACACGCCGACACTGTTCTCCAAACGTGCAGTCGCGCGACCACCGTGATCGTTTGTTTCAACTGGCAAAATTACTGAATTTTCGGGCTGTTACAATGCCGTGGAAACGTGAAAACGCTTGAATGTCGCCAACGTCCCGCTTGACTGTCGCAACTCCGCCGTTTAGCCGACGACATTCTGTCAGGTTAACCCGCAAACCCTCGTTCGAGTAACATCGACCAAAATGTGTACCCTAAAATGATGAATGCAAAGAAATAAGTGACACGAAATGGTAACTCGCCGGAAGATACACAGGACATAAACGATGGATAACGTTTGACCAATCCATTCAAATCCAAATCTTCATCGAAATTTTAATACGACAAGATGCAAAAGATAGATCAATAAAAGGTGTCGCGATTGGACCGCCAAATATCTCAACGAATTAGGAAAAAATTCGACCCAAAATTTAATCATGCGATACGTACGAATCACGAAACACAGAGCTGTAACTTCGTTAACTTGAAATGTCACTTTGTTCGAATGAAATAGAAAGATGGGAAATGTCAGAACGAGAAAAATGGTAGGATAAAAGCAGTCCATCGTAAAATAGAGAATAAAGTCACCGCTTGAAAAATAAGAGAACGCAGCATGGACCAATATCTCACAACGTATCAAAAAGATTACACGTGGCCTTTGACGAGGATCAAGCGCACGGCATCTCTGTTAAGCGAGCATGATTCTTGTCGTTGCCATGATCGTCCACGAGAAATAAAGCCTCTTAAACGTTGCGGAGATGATTTCGATTGGAATCGTATTAGTCCCATGGGACGACTGCTGGACCCAAAGCTGTATCCTGCGAAGACAGGCCCATATCCGGAAACAGAGGCCACGAGATTCGATCAACCGGGCACGTACATGAGGAAGGTGAGACAATTACGGTGTACAAACTTATTGCAATTGCTACGTTGAAACGATGATTTCAGTTGGAAGAGAAATACCCTAATCTCTATGGAATTCTACAGAGCACACCCATGGACGAAATAATTAGACGGGTTGACGAAGATCGGCTGAGGACGACGTATCAATTGGATTACTCTGACCCTGGTAATTTCAAAAAATATATATCACATTTTATATTATGTTATTGGAAAATATACTTCTCGAGATATCGATTGACGTTACAGCTGCTGCACAAATGGAGGAAATATCTATGGGTCCTTGCGCTGTTAAGCAGCAACAAGTAAAAGATATAGATTGTCGACCATCTGCGCTATCGAAAAGCACTCTACGTGACAAGGATAAATCAGGCAAGGAGAAAACCTCGAGGAAAACGAGCGAAGACGAATCACAGGAAACGCGATTACCGCCCTGGCGATCGGAATACCAAGATACTATCCACAAACTAGGCCAGGCGATTATGAAACACCAAATTCATCACAAAAAGAAGCAATCGCCAGATTGGGCTATGGCTGCCTTGTAAAAATTCATTCTCTCACTGTCTTCAATAAACTATATCCTACCAAACCATCGTATTACATCGTATTCGTTCCTTGATAATTTTATTCGCATTAATTTTTCAATCCATTTCAATGATCCTGGAAAGGTAACATTTGTTACTTGCTATTAATACCAATGAAAGTATTTGTATTTCAAACATTAGTTTCAAAATCTATAAATTAGACTTGTAAAAATTTGTTCTTCGTTGAACAAAAGTATAGTGTACAAATTCAAAGGTGTCCAAAAGTACCGAGTGAAGTTACTCGAGAAACGCAGTCATCCTACTCGCAGCATGGAAGATAGAGAAATTAGGTAGAACTAGAGAGATACGTAGTGCATCAAATTCGGTGTAATAATGCACAAGGCGCTATGCATTTATCGACATATTTCGCAGAATAAGTTAGAGTGACAACTTTGCCTCCGAATCGTGTTCGTGGCAAAGTATCCAGCGAGTAATCTCTCTTAACCTAAAGAAGCTGTAACTTTCCAATTACCCGAACCGAAAACTGCAATACCTGATGATATCTATGATTAAAGGTGGCCATAAAGACGGACAATCGACGAGAAACATCACCGCGTGCCACCACTGTCACAAGAGATAACTGGAACAGAGAAATGTATCCCGATTCGCCACGATACGTCAATTCGAACGCTTATCAACACAACCACGCCAACGAGCACGATGGACGATTTCCAGAAGAAAAATCTTCCGTGGAATCTGTCGCCGAAGCTGAGGATACGGGCGTTAATAAGAATAACGTATGATTAAACAGCGTTTATTTTAGCTTAGTTACTTATGTATACGTGATATTGTGACGTAGAGCGCGATACATCGTAAGTGCCAAAATTGAAATTTTTGGAAGAGCTCAGGCAAGTGGTTTTCCCCTTCTGTTTAGCAGAAACGATATACACAATTGGATTTCTACGATTTCATTGTTCGCTTGAGTTCAGAAATATAACGAATCGTAGTAAAATTTTGAAACGCAAACAATCTCCTCGATCATTAAATGAATATTCGTTGTGCAGTTACGCGATTATCCAGATGAATCTGTTTACGTGAAGATCTTACCGAAACATAACCTCTCCGCGCTACGAGAGGGGTACCAACGTTCCGACAATTACGGAGACTACAATGCGCCAGATACGATAACCGCGATACAAAGGTTGCAAAGACTGAAGGAGCTGCAGATGAAAAGGGACATCAGTGAGAGATATTATTCGCAGGAAATCAAACGATTGATCGGCGAGTACTATTTCGGTCCGAAAATTGCTTCACCGTCGTGGAGGCCTACTACGAGACTTCGAAGTGCCAGTTTTCCACAATCTACGGAGAATCGATTGAAAAATGTAGCTAATGCATTATTATTAATATATATTGTACATCCGCAGTAGCGATAAAAATGTTTTTCACGGTGTTCATCGAAATGAATATATCAAATCATTAACACGACTGTATTCTAATTTGATCAGGCCCTTGAACCATGCGGTACAATGACGACAATCATGCGGCTGGATTGTGGGTGTTCTCAAAAGACGACGAGGCCAATTTTTACGACGACGGAAGGCCGAATTCAAAGCAGGAGTTGCAATCTATCTCAGGACGAGAGGCTTTTAAAGGTAACTTCGTCGAATCCCCAGGAACACCTGTTTTTGTCGTTGGAGCAATCGAAGGATAGGTATCGCGCAAAAACGAAGAAACGACTCGATTCGCGAACAGGCTCGAAAATCCCTCCTGTTGGCGATCAAGAATTCGAGACGGAAAACGAGAAGAAAGACGAAGAGCCAGAACAGGAAATTATCGAGCACATTTCGAGAACAACGTCCCCCCAACGAAAATTTAGCAATACTTCGGCGATCTCTTATGAAAATGTAAACTTATTTTCCATTTAACACACCGAACTTAATGTGTAATCGATGACATATCGTCTTGGTACGTGTTTTCGTTGCGCGAATGATTTTACATTAAAGTGTCTCTCTAAGTATCATGAAATTGTCTAAAAGAATTAATAAACGTGAACTTTGAACTATATCACTTGCGTCAAATGTCAGACAATGGAACACGGATGAACTTGAATAAATCAGCAGTGAATTACGCAAAGCTCGTCATGTCTATCAAAATTTGAAACAATTAGTGGGTGGAATTTTCCAAATCGCAGGATGAACGATTTAAGATTGACAACCGATTCCGTAATTGCACACGTTGGATTCACGTTTTTAAACGCCATACTACATTATGCGCTTTATAGAGCTATCGTTGCCACGATCATGCTGATCAAAGAAACGATACTTTGGTTGTTCCGGAAGGTGCTAAAATTTCGCAGTGTGACCAGAAACGACCAATCGACTCAGTCCCCTTTGTCATGTAACGTTTAATCCCGGTTTTTCGGCGGAAAATTCCTAGTAAGAAAATCAAATATATATGCGATACAAATAAAAATCAGTGAAATACAACTTTAACATCTTTTGCAAAAAGTTAACCTTAATCGTAGAAGTTCTCTTCTAGAATGAATGTTAACTTTGTCAAATAAATACCTTTTACTTTATTGTTTTTAATTCCTAACGAATCGTATGCAATGTATTTTCACATTGCAAATAAAAAGCGTGTAGATATATATTTAATTAAATATTCATTCCACAGAGACTCATGTAAATTCTGGTTGTTTGCTCTAAGTCGCGATTAAATTAACGGTACACGATGAGCACCGCGTTGGAAAATTTCGTCACAATCACTCATCATGATTTTAATTGGCCATACCCGGTACCACTCATTGCGAAACCGGCACAACCACCGATGAACACGGGAATTCGATTGTACACCCCCAGAATCGACCCTGAGGATTGCCCATGCGACGCCCATGGCCAGGAGAGTAGTAAAAATAGGTAAAAATGTAACACGGCATAAATCATATTTAACATTAAACCTACCAAATTAATCAAAATAACTACGTGCAGATGTTTTACCTTTCCAGTTACTTAAAACATGCAGTTACTTTTGATAAAATTGTTATTGATCTTCATTAAGATTGAGATGTAATTATATGTACTAATTTTTCTTACATTATTTTAATTACAATTATTAATTATATTTTAACACTTGAAGTTTGAAGAAAATTAATGCAATATAACAAATTTTACTGTTTAAAATGCCCATCTAAATTAAAAACCAAACTTGTATTACAACTTTCAATGTCTACATCGTCCGAACAAAGGAAGATAATTATAACTCGTCGAACTTAAAATAGTTGTTAAAAAAATATCTTCAGATACAAATACCTAGCTGAGAAGGAACGACACATAGTAGATCAATTGATGAGAGTGAATCGTGAAATGAGGAATCTCACGACAGCTATGCTAGACAGCAACTGCGAGCCAATGGACGAGACGATGAAGAGTATTTATAAAACGGATTACGCGAAGAGAGGTATGAAACGGCATTGAAGTAACGCGAATTCGTCCAAATAACTTACTCGAATGAATTCAGGATTGCCTATCAAAGAGTACAGACAGATGCAGGCTGCGGTCGATTCACCCTACTGTTCACCATTCCCGTCAGAAGTTACCGAAATAAAGGAGGGCTACAGGGACCCAACGAGATTTCGATTCACTGCCATCGAAAGACCGCACATTCAGCCAGCCAAAACGATCAATTTGTTGCAAGGTATGCAATACTTGTTCAAAAGCCTTTGTTTATTTTAAATTTTCAACTGTAAAAACAATTGGATGTTATTAATGAAAATATGCTGTACATTAATTGGATTTATTTTAAAGAGAACAAATTTTATTACTAGATATTTAGAGATGTTTATGGTGCTGATAAATATTAAATTTTAAAATATAACAAATTATTCTACATGAAATTATACGTAAAAAGGAAAGATGTAATATATTGTGAAAATATATTTTTAGTTCCAGAAGCTTTTTCTTTGTGGGAGACACCTTTTACTGGTCGCTCAGAATACATGGATACTATTAGTAAAATGGCTCTAAGCAATATGAAAAATCGACAGCAATATCTAGAACCGCTACCTTCGTCAAGAAGAAGATTAGGGGACTGTAAATTATAAATTTGACTCAACATAAAAATTCCTATGTGTATAAATATCAAATTGTAATGAAAACAATTACACAGCAAATACCATACGTTTATATGCTTTCAACTTTTTTTAAAATGGAAAAGTATATAGATCGTTTCGACTTTTAGAAACATACGTCATAAAAAGTGACATATGATTACTGTCATCTATTTATTATTAATATAACCAAGTAAATTTTAATCAACAAAATTTTATATGCGTATTTTTATTCTTGATATTTCACCTGTTTATGTTTCTTTAAATAATTTTGAATAATTCAAAAAATTTCGTCATAATGACTTTTTGTGAATTTTTTCCTACGGAATATAATCGTAATTATAGAAAGAAGAAGTTAAAACCAGCTGAAATGTAACAAAAAATAGACAGCATCGAAATTATGAATAAATAATGAAATTTTATTTATTCGAACGCAAATTATACCTTTTTTTAGAATATATCAAAGAGATTATTTTTCGGAACGCATTGAAGAAGGAGAAATCGATCCTCATACAGCATCAATTCCTACACAATTAGACGAGGCAGCTGAACAATTGGTTTATAAACATATTCTTGATAACCTACAATCTGTTTATCAAGTCACCTACACACATCCTTGTAAACTATAATGCAGAAAAAAAGATAAATAGAAAACTTGATTTTTCTGAAAACTGATGAATGATGAAATATAGGGATTTCGCGTGATGATAAAAGAGTTGGGAAAGAAGAAGTTAAAGAAAAAGATTTGCAAAACGAATTAGTAACATATATCCATGATGTATACCTTGATCCTCATGAAGAGAAAGTTCTTGCTCCTCCAGTAACGGCAAAAAGAAGTAAGTAAGTAGAATAATTTTGTAATAACTTAATAATTTGGAATGATGTCAAATGTTTGATAATTAAAAGTGTTACTAAAGGTAATGTAATATACTCAATAATATCAAATTATCCGTTACTCTATTAAAATCCAAAAATAAACCTATTATTAAGAACTAATTAAATATGCGTAGTGCTTGGTTACATAAGACCAAAGCTATTACATGGAAGTCTTTCCGTATACCAAGGCACTGTCGGTCGAACAGGGGCAACAATAATAATACAAGAACATGAGAAGAAAAATACACCTTCTAAAAGCATAGAAATATCAAAATATAGTAAGGCTAAAGTAAATATTAATAAAATCAATCCTTGTAAGGACTTAGATTTTGAGAATTAATTGTGATTTAATATCAGTGACATATGACAAATATTTCAATCTTTGTAACTCGATTTTTCTTTACAAATAAAATGTAAAACATATGTACACTATGACATGTATATATAATAAAAATATTCAAATTAAACATATATAATTAGCAATAGAAAGATCGCAGACAATATTATTTACAATAATATTTGAATGAAATAAACACAATTATACATTCCTTACTAAATATTGCAACACAATTACATTATTTTCCACGTAACCTCAACAGATGGCGTACTGATACTGCAAAGAATTGCATTAACTTGACGGCTTTAATTTCGGTTGCACAAATTTCACATTGCTAAATATCTATCATATTCGCAAATCTTTAAAACATATAACTTAAAAGAAAATAGTTTAAAAAAATATTTTTACTATACAATTAATGCAATAATAAAACGATTTTATTTGTTGATCTTTCAAAAAATTCATCGTTAATTATCAAGTCTGTTTTGGATGGTTTCAAATATCAAAAAGATATTTTTATGATTTCAGATAACTGAATTGCCATAAACAATTATTTTAATTATCTGTTTGCATACGATATAATTCTTAGTGCATAGCTTCATCCCGTACGGTACCTTCACAAGCGGATGAACTTTCTTTATGACACAGTATAATTGACTTGCATACTACGCAGTGACTACAAAAATTCTAAAATGTCACGAAATATTATAATACATCTAATAATAAGTGCTACTGGTATAATTGTTGCTATGTCAGCGTTTATTGTATTTTGTGTCGTGTATAATAATTACCATGTTGGATTTTGGTCGATATTATCAGGTTAGCATCACACATTAAATGACATACCTATTGTGTGAATTATATGACAATATTTTATAACTGTAAATGTATTTAAAACTTAATTGTAAACGATTTAAAATTTTATAGCATAAGGAATAAATTTTTATTATATGAACAGTAAATATTATTTATCTATATTAAGTTTATCTATTATTCCTTATGAAAAAACGTTACCTGCGTTTGTTGCGCACCATTTGTCTTCCGATAATCAATCTTGACTATGCAACTCTGTTTCTTTATTTAATAGTTTTGTAATATTTTTATTAATACTTGTAGCAATATATTTGTATTATTTCCTGATTATATACATATATCACTTATAATAAATAATGTTACCTCAGAAATTTTATATTATTAATACTAAATACGATCATACAATAAAAAATACTTTGATTTAATTATTATAAATTTAACATATAAAAAGAATTAAATATTAAATATGTAAAATGTTTCACACATCACACAGGTATATTAGCTGCAATTTGTTTTCACCTACACTGGTTGAAAGGAAAAGAAAGATTAGAAAGATGGTACAGTAAAACTATATTAAGAAAATTGAATATTATTGGCTTTTTAAGTGCAGTGGCAGGAATTACTGCGCTAATTTGGTACCTCTTTGTCACATTATATTATAAAATTCGTATGTATATCATTTAATTTCTTAAACTAAAAGCTTTCTTTATTTATTTATTAAATTAAACATAAATATAAGAATATCTTTTTCATATTATAGCCATTACACCTTTTGAGACTAGTACAGCAATATCAGCAGTTTGGGGTACAGTTTGCGGACAATGGGGTATTTTCTTAATGTATTATGCTCATAAGTATGAGTTAATTATCGAAGAAAACTCTGAACCCATATTAACAGAAAGTAATGCATAAGATATTTTTATACAAGAGAATATATTAGCTTCTATAAGTAGATTCATTACATACCATTATAAAAAGATGTTTTATTAATAAATAAATGTATTTTCATAATAATATAATATAAAGTTAAATATATGCAAATATATTTGTTAAAATATAATCCTATTTCCTTTCATAAACCAAGCTTGTTAACTTTATATGTAGTATTATATATTATTTTTGAAGGATTGTCAATATTTATTTAAAAAAGTTTACAAAAAGTAGATTACAATAGAATTATCTAAGTATCACAGCATTGTAATATATAATTCCTTAAAATAGATAATAAATTAAAAATTCATAAAAAATCCCAAAACCCACATAAAAATACTAACTCAATTTTAATTACATATTCCTTTTAATTTAATTGAAACTTTTTGTTGTTATAAGTATTATGTATAGAAAAACTAATATATTATATAACTTAATTCTAAGATGGTGCTAATTTATACAATGGATAAATTAATGTATAAAGACCTACAATTGAAGACATCATACCAAGTATACCAATTGCTCCAGGGGTAAATTTGGTAAAACCTAGTGCTGACAATGGAATAAATAGATCACATCCATTTTTAATTGCATCTATTACAATATCTTTATGATTTTTTAAATGATATAATAATTCATATTGTCTCCATATATCATAGAATTTTGGTGTTCTCATTAATATATCCTTTCCTTCATCTTTAAGAATTCTAATAATTTCATAAATATCTCTTGTAAGATTCATAATAATACTCATTAACCAATATTTATTAGCTACTTTACTCCATTTTTCAATATTAACTCTAAATAATCCCACACGTCCAATCCAAATTATATGATCTGCTAATAAAAATAATGCATTGGCAATTTTTGATAGAATCAAAGTAACTCTTACGACAACGTCTGGATATTTCATAATTTTTAAAGTAGAATATAAACTGTCCAAACATCTTCCAAGACGTAACACTACAAAAAAAAAAGAATAAAATGTTAACACCAAAAATATTTCTTTAAAAGTATGAAAATATATAAATGAAATACATTTTCTAAAGGAACTAAATGTATATTCTAAACTTCTTAAGATTTCTGCAGAGTGTTGTGTACTACGAATATTCTGAGCATAATACCAATAAGCTCGACTTCCATATTGCAGCAACCTGTAATATCTAATAATAAGTGCTACTGGTATAATTGTTGCTATGTCAGCGTTTATTGTATTTTGTGTCGTGTATAATAATTACCATGTTGGATTTTGGTCGATATTATCAGGTTAGCATCACACATTAAATGACATACCTATTGTGTGAATTATATGACAATATTTTATAACTGTAAATGTATTTAAAACTTAATTGTAAACGATTTAAAATTTTATAGCATAAGGAATAAATTTTTATTATATGAACAGTAAATATTATTTATCTATATTAAGTTTATCTATTATTCCTTATGAAAAAACGTTACCTGCGTTTGTTGCGCACCATTTGTCTTCCGATAATCAATCTTGACTATGCAACTCTGTTTCTTTATTTAATAGTTTTGTAATATTTTTATTAATACTTGTAGCAATATATTTGTATTATTTCCTGATTATATACATATATCACTTATAATAAATAATGTTACCTCAGAAATTTTATATTATTAATACTAAATACGATCATACAATAAAAAATACTTTGATTTAATTATTATAAATTTAACATATAAAAAGAATTAAATATTAAATATGTAAAATGTTTCACACATCACACAGGTATATTAGCTGCAATTTGTTTTCACCTACACTGGTTGAAAGGAAAAGAAAGATTAGAAAGATGGTACAGTAAAACTATATTAAGAAAATTGAATATTATTGGCTTTTTAAGTGCAGTGGCAGGAATTACTGCGCTAATTTGGTACCTCTTTGTCACATTATATTATAAAATTCGTATGTATATCATTTAATTTCTTAAACTAAAAGCTTTCTTTATTTATTTATTAAATTAAACATAAATATAAGAATATCTTTTTCATATTATAGCCATTACACCTTTTGAGACTAGTACAGCAATATCAGCAGTTTGGGGTACAGTTTGCGGACAATGGGGTATTTTCTTAATGTATTATGCTCATAAGTATGAGTTAATTATCGAAGAAAACTCTGAACCCATATTAACAGAAAGTAATGCATAAGATATTTTTATACAAGAGAATATATTAGCTTCTATAAGTAGATTCATTACATACCATTATAAAAAGATGTTTTATTAATAAATAAATGTATTTTCATAATAATATAATATAAAGTTAAATATATGCAAATATATTTGTTAAAATATAATCCTATTTCCTTTCATAAACCAAGCTTGTTAACTTTATATGTAGTATTATATATTATTTTTGAAGGATTGTCAATATTTATTTTAAAAAGTTTACAAAAAGTAGATTACAATAGAATTATCTAAGTATCACAGCATTGTAATATATAATTCCTTAAAATAGATAATAAATTAAAAATTCATAAAAAATCCCAAAACCCACATAAAAATACTAACTCAATTTTAATTACATATTCCTTTTAATTTAATTGAAACTTTTTGTTGTTATAAGTATTATGTATAGAAAAACTAATATATTATATAACTTAATTCTAAGATGGTGCTAATTTATACAATGGATAAATTAATGTATAAAGACCTACAATTGAAGACATCATACCAAGTATACCAATTGCTCCAGGGGTAAATTTGGTAAAACCTAGTGCTGACAATGGAATAAATAGATCACATCCATTTTTAATTGCATCTATTACAATATCTTTATGATTTTTTAAATGATATAATAATTCATATTGTCTCCATATATCATAGAATTTTGGTGTTCTCATTAATATATCCTTTCCTTCATCTTTAAGAATTCTAATAATTTCATAAATATCTCTTGTAAGATTCATAATAATACTCATTAACCAATATTTATTAGCTACTTTACTCCATTTTTCAATATTAACTCTAAATAATCCCACACGTCCAATCCAAATTATATGATCTGCTAATAAAAATAATGCATTGGCAATTTTTGATAGAATCAAAGTAACTCTTACGACAACGTCTGGATATTTCATAATTTTTAAAGTAGAATATAAACTGTCCAAACATCTTCCAAGACGTAACACTACAAAAAAAAAAGAATAAAATGTTAACACCAAAAATATTTCTTTAAAAGTATGAAAATATATAAATGAAATACATTTTCTAAAGGAACTAAATGTATATTCTAAACTTCTTAAGATTTCTGCAGAGTGTTGTGTACTACGAATATTCTGAGCATAATACCAATAAGCTCGACTTCCATATTGCAGCAACCTGTAAAATATTGTTAATATGTGTTTACATAATATTAATATTATCTATTTATTTATTTAATTTATTTTATTTACCATTGAAAAGTTAGTATATATTTTTATAAAATTTTTATTAAAAAATATTTTTAAATATGTGATAATAAAAGGAAGAGTACTTTACAATATTCTTCAATATTTTAAGTACATTATAGCAAATATAATGAAAAGAATACTCTTTAATATTTACGAGATATAATGCCAAGTAATAGAATACAGGTTATGTAAAATCTTTTTACCAATAAAGAATACTAACAAGGTACAGTATACTTAATGCACTTAAATATATTCACGCAGTAAATAAATGACATACCTGATAATTTTATCCCTGCCTACTGTTTGTTCATTTAACTTTATTACTATGTCCATGACGTTTTTAAACAACGTAAAGGATTAAATATTTCAAGAATAAAATAATTATAATAAATTATTATTTAAAATTAATTTAAAAAGTGCTATCTGTCTATAAACACATGTAAACAATCAATATCGTCATAAGAAAATTTAATCCCAACAAATTGGTACGTAAAAAATGTCTACTGATGATTATCTCGAAATTCGTAATTGTAAATATTTATAATGACATCGTATAAATTTTTTGTCATTTTACTTATAACATATTTCGAATAAAATTAAGCGGTCAAAGTACAAATATAATAAATTACTGAAATATACGTATTTGATGCCACCAGCGCCATCAAACATTTATCTTAGCAAACCCGCCATTTTCAAACATCGAAGTATGTAATGTCTGCAAAAGTAATACGTAATACAGTTTGATATTAATGAGATTAATTTTTTCAACTAAATCCTATTGCTTAAGCAACTACTTCTTTCATGAAAATAAACTCTAGTGAAAGATGAAATAGTTTTATTGTTATTAATGAATGAAGAACAATGTATAAGACATGTAAGTACAATGTAAGCACATTCATAGTATAAAAGTGCATGTGAAACGAATTGCAGTCTTAAATATCACATAAAATGATGAAATAAAATGAAAGCATAATTTGTATTATAGTAATTGTATTTTTAAAAAGCCGAAAAGCTAGTTGTACCTAATTATGAATTAATAAATTACGAATTAATTTATCATAGTTAAAGTCTTACAGACAATAAAGAGAAAAATATACATACAAAACAACGATTATGATTGTTTATCGTGAGATAAAGCAACGCGCACGTATGATATAAATGACAATGCACGTCCATTATGTCTGAATCCTGGCAGAAGTAAAAGAGTATTCACTATAACATTCCAATAAAATAAAATTTACATTAACATACTCATCCTATAAAATAAAATATTGGGCAAATAAATTGTAAAATAATTACCTGCAATATAAAATAGAAGCAAGTTATTAACTGTGCTTCCAATCCATATACAAACAATGAGACAAGTTATTATTCCTGCATAATACTGCAGCATATAAAAAATAGTTTAGAACAATATTCTTTGTAAATACTATATTTAATATTTGTTACTTGAATACTAAATTTGTAACTTCTTAACTTACAACATGAGGACGATCATTTCGTGTTTTCAACATTAATTTCCACAGATTTTGTAACTGTAAAATTATTACAGATAAATTTTGACATATCTCATTTAATTTTCTTTCTTTCTGGCCTGTCCATTTATTGGCAGGACTTAACAAAGATAATACAGGTGGCACAAGATAATCAATCAAAGCCAATATAAGGAGAGATACAGATATTATTGTAAGTATAGCAGGTTCCAACATCCATATGAAGCTATGAACAAATAAATTTTGTGTTAATGTTATGAAATTAAATTGAATATTACTTACAAATATATATTACACAAAAATAATTACTAACTAAGACAATAAAATATAATAATTCTACAAATAAAATAATAAATTTTCCTATAAAATAAATATTAAGAATTAATTTTTAATCGCCATTTTATTAGTAACAATATTAAAAATTCTTGAAGAAGTGAAAAATTTAGTAAAGTAAAAATTATAAATATAAGTAAAATAAATTTCATTTATGATATTAAAAAATAACATAAAAAGTACACAATTTACAATAGAAATTATATTTTCATATAATATTATGATGTCTTCACTTACAAAAATATTATATTTGTAATTCCAACTATAAGGCCAGGATACCAGTATCGTTCCCATAATAGAATAGAATTCAATGGAAGTATTACTTCACGCCAACATTCCATTCTACGTTTTAATTGTTTCATATGCTTTTCCTACAAGGAGATTACATTGTTTGAGAACAAAAATGAGTGTCACTGTCATTGATTTTTCTTCCATAGTAGAATTATATGAGTTGATACATAAGGGCTTGTTCGATTAAGTATTAAATGAAATACATAAATCATATTTTAAATATTCAGTGTTTAGAAAAACGTATAAAATCTTACCTTTTCTATTCCTGCGCTGTCAGCCATCCTGATTACAAAATAAAATATTCAAATTCGCTTTGAGGAAACAGTATACTACGACAAGAACTTGGAATTACGTCAAAGTTGAAGTAAAATGAAATTATAATTTATTCACATTATCCACCATAATATTTCGTTTTATTTAAACATTTCTTTATTCTTTAATTTGATTACGGTGAAGTATCTTCGGAAAAGGTCAGAGACGCCGGATACTTTTTGCTTGAAAACACACGAAATGACGAAGAATCGACTTCTAGTTTCGAGATTATTGTAACTCGCACGCGATTGGCTATCAGTTCAAAATGTTGGTTATTGCAGGCGATACTGTGCTGATGTTGTGACGTTAAAGATTTTCTAACAGTATACTTCAAACAATCGCGTCCTAAACGCGTTTAGTTGAAATTTTATTCAAAATTTGCTAAATATGGCTGCTGTGAGTTCTGTAAGTGATCAGTGATACGTATTAATTTCTATCCGCAAACCTTAACAGCGGTACTTCTTGTTTATGTCTGGTTAAGGAGACAGGTTTCTCTTAATATATGTTCATTCCCGGGTAATAAACTGTCTACCATAGTTTGTTTTTTCAGATATCAAATGTCGAAAATTTATCTCCACAAATTATTAGGCGTGTAGCTAAAGAAATGAGTGAATTAGCTGCCCAACCACCCGATGGTATCCGTGTTATTTTAAACGAAGAAGATGTTACTGATATTCAAGCTATCATAGAAGGACCCTGTAAGATTACAGCTCACGTAATTACTTTCTTTATAAAATTTCAATCAAATATTATATACTACTTAAAAGATTGTATAATTATTGAACTATAACCTATTCAAATGTCAGTTACACCTATATATGTATATATATATATATATAAATACATTTGATATGTGTATACGTACACACATAACGCGCGCACGTGTATACATGCATGCATATATACATATATGTATATATATATATGAGAAATGTAAGTTTATTTCATTTATAAAAAAGATTATTTACATAATTAGTCTTAAATTTATTTACATATAATATTAACAAATATAATATTTATAAATTTTCCTTTTTTTACAATTTTATTTTTTAATACTTGTACTTATTGAGATACAATTTAGTGTTGCTAAAAGTTTTTGTTTAACTTTATTTTCTTCACAATTAAAGACCATAAATGTTTGTGTACATTATAGTATTTGTAAGTTAAAAATATAAATTTTTCTAATACCAGCGGGAACGCCATATGCTGGCGGTTTCTTCAGAGTTAAATTAGCTCTTGGCAAAGACTTTCCTCAAGGACCACCAAAAGCATTTTTTCTTACAAAAATTTTTCATCCAAATGTTGCAAAAAATGGAGAAATTTGTGTCAATACTTTAAAAAAGGATTGGAAATCAGATCTCGGAATTAAACATATATTACTAGTAAGTATCTTATATTGTAAATACGACTGTTCATTAATTAATATAATTAATATGACTTAATTGATCAACATTAACATTTTTAATTACCTTATATTTGTAGACTGTAAAATGTCTTTTAATAGTGCCAAATGCAGAATCTGCTTTAAATGAAGAAGCTGGTAAATTACTTTTAGAAAGGTATGATGATTATTCGGAGCGAGCAAAAATGATGACAGAAATACATGCACAGGTAAATTATTATCAATTATATTAAATTAAATATATATATAATATATATAAATGATGAAAAATCAATTTATAATTTAGGGAGGTGGAAAAGGCAGCAAAGCAGGTCTGGAAAGTTGCACATCCTCTGAAGTCGGAGGACCTCTCCCAAAAAAGCATGCGGGAGATAAAAAACTATCAGCAGAAAAGAAAAAAATATTAAAAGATAAGAAGAGGACACTCAAAAGATTATAAAAAAAATCAACATAATTTATCTATCTTTTATAATTTAAAACACTGGTGTGGTAATGTTGCCTCATATTGTACACAATTATTGCATAGTAAAAATTTATTATCTAAACTCGACTGATCTTATTATTAAGTATTTAGAAAATTAATAATTCTAGAAGCATTAAAAATGACTTCCTAAGATACAAACAAGTACAACTTTGTAGTAAACTACTTTACAATCAGGAGTGGAAAATAATATAGCCCACTCTATGGTATCTGTTAGTGAATATTTTTACATATGTACAAAATGATACCTCGTGTGACTATTTAAATTAAATAAAAAATGTTCTTCAGATAAAAGTTTGAGTCTTTTTTTTAATATTTATAATTAACAATTCTCTGATATATATGCTGTATATATATGTATATACATACATCTTTAGATGAAAGTTATCTTTGAGGAAACTAGGAAACCAAACATCAATTTTTGATTAGGTAGGAAATAAAAATTATTTTGTTTTCAAGAACATCGTTCTTTATTAGGTAATGACTCGTCAGTTTCTTTGCTTCAATCTTGTACCACTGCATTGCCATTCATACGCTGCATGAATAAAACCATGCACATTGTTTTACAAGCCCATTACTGCACAGTAAAATATTTCATTAGTAGATGACTAGAAGATAACAGTATGTCACAGCCATATTCCACTATAAGCTATTAGCTACATATAGTGGTACTTTTTATTATTCATGGTAAAAAACAATTCATTAAACATAATTTACAAAGATCTGATACTATTAAAACATAGTGATACACATGATATATAGTAAGGTGTTTCAGTGTGTAAACTATGTTCAAAGATATTTGCTATAATTATTTCGATATTTGCTTATTGGTAAAAACTAGTTAGATTGAGGGCTAGAAGCACTTCTGTACTTTGATAAACAACAACTTTTAAAGATGAATTTTACTGTATTTTTCATCTGATAACCACACACGCACGATAGTACATACAAATCCATACAGTCTTTACATCATAACTTCTTAAATTTCTTTTTGTTATGGTATCATAAAAAAATCTATGAACTCCTACAAATTATTCTCCTTAAGTGTCTGTAAAAGTTGTATGCCAATTTCCAAAGAAACCGTCAAAAATAAAAAATATCCACTTAAAAGAAATTTCTTATAACATTTTGCTAATGATACAGTTATACTTATTTTTATATATTCTCATGAAAATTAGGGAAACACATTGTATCGTGTTAAGTCAGATCAGAACAAAATCTTAAAAGTGTGAAGATTTGTGACGTTGTTACTTTACTTCTTTCACATAAGCTTCCAATTCTGCATCTAGTTCTTCAGCAGTAGGAGTTTTGGTCGCTTGCCGGCTGCCCCCTCTGCCACCACGCCGACCAGTTCCGCGACCTTTACCAATGAAAAAACGATATTAATACATTTTTTGATAATTTATTTATTTTTTACGAAATTAATTACACACCTCTGACAGATCCTGCTCCACGATTACCCCTAAAGCGGGACTGAGGTCTCTGTGTATAATTACTGCCGCTAAGTCTCGGGCCTCCACGGATAGATGTGACTGGTATTTCAGAGGTAGCAACTTGTATGTTCATTTCACGACCTGCCGATGTATAGCACATATTGCAATAATAGATGTGAATAGTTGTGCAAATCATAATTCACAATAACTTCTTTGAAATTTGTTTTTCTTTAATGTCATCCCATGTTGGAGTATTTATGGAAGGATAAAAGAGAAAATGCTCAAACTGTATGTTGCTAGGTATAAACTGGAGACCAGATTAATAAGTGATACTGAAACCCTAAATATAGGTGGAATTTTATAATTAAAAAGAGACATTCAAAGCAAAACTTATAATCCAAGCATAAATTTAACTACACACCATCTAATGGTACGCCATTATACTGTTTCATTGCTTTAATAGCATCTGCTCTTCTTTCAAATATAACATCTGCAGAGCCTAATGATCGACCTGACCTATCGTAATGTACCGCTGCTGACTTTAAGGGGCCAAATTCACTAAATAATTCCTAGAAACACAAAATTATGCACACTATTGTAAATTTATATTATGGTCAACAATTATGAATAATTAACATTACATGTTCTAATTTTATTTTTGCAATATTACAAACCTTAAATCTTTAAAATATCAATATTAATCTTTCAATAGTGCAAAATTTTTAAGTGTTTGTTTGAATTAAAAATTTATTTAATACTTCGATTTCAATTATTGGAATAAAATATTAAAGTAAAATATATATAAACACAATATCAAAATTTTATATAATAAAAAATACCTGAATATCTGAATCCGATACTCCAAAGTCAAGATTTGATACGAGAAGCTTGGTTGTTCCAGCACTACCTATCGCACTTCGGCCAACCTTTTTTACCCCATCAAACATGTCATGTTTCCATGCACTGTTTACGTCACCCTGGAAATTAATGTTACATTGGTTATTATGTACAATTTCTAATATCTAGCAACATTTATGAATATCCTCTATTATATTCTATCTTTTCATGAATCAAAAAAATTAAATTTCAATCAATTAAAAATTTTATTTGCATACTTTCTTAAATATTTCACATTATTTTTATTCTATAACTTAAAACATTTCATACATTTGTTACCATTTGAATATGTAAACGTATAAAAAATGATTGTCCTTAAAATCAACGACACGATATCATATTATAAAATCGCGTAGTCCGATAATTTCCAAAGAATTTTTAAAATGAACAATCTTTTGTAGTATACAATGTATTTATCAATAAAACGGTAAAAAAATTATACAAACCACGTTTCTATTTTGTAAGACTATTTTACCTTGAAATACGATCGTTAATCTATGACTAGATTAAACTATTTCCTACATAAGCACTTAAGGCGGAAGTAATACGATAGGTTCTGATATTCTGACGCACGTGACAAAATGAATATAATGTAAATAATAAAAATAAATACAAAAAACAGTTTTTTACCCTTGTGTATGGAAGAGAATTTCTTGTAATGCCACCACGATTGCGTCCCCGCATGACGCCACCACCAACTCTTTGCGTTCTGCGTGCTCCTCTACGAGGTGAGTTACCGGCACCTCTTCCCCGTCTGCCACTCCCGCCGCGTGGTCTAGTCCCTTTATTTTGCTTGATAATATCATCGAGACTCATGTCTATTTTATCAACCATCTTCATTTGTGCTGGCTTTCAAGTAATGACACTACTACGCGAAAATGAATAAAACCAACCTCTTTCGTCTTCGTAATGATGGCGGCGAACGAAGACGAAACAAGCGCGCACAGAAACCTGGGTATAAAGACCGTAGATCATAGAAATATTTCTTAGACGGGTTACTTGTATGTATTTGATGTGACGATCGAAACGCTCTCTATCAACAAGTTATCCAAATAAAATAACGGTTATTTTTTAAAATTACCACATAGTGACAACGATTTTTTATATTGGTATTTAGATTTTATTACATTTGATTTAATTTAATGAAATTATGTATATAAATATTTATATTTATTATTTAAATTAATGCGAAATAAATTTAAGTAAAAAAGAATTTTTTTATAAAATATAGAAGTAAATTTGTTATAAATTTATTACGTTTATTTACTTTAAATGTATTTAAAATGTTATTTTTGTTTAAGTACATTATAAATAGTATATTTAATTTTTTATCTTTTGAATATCAAAAATACATTTTTTTTCCCTACATATTATTACAGTTCATCGTGTTCTTCATTTTCATCATTTTCCTCAACATCATCATCTTCCTGATAAAAATCTACAGAATTGCATAAATTTGTAACATTTGTACATAATTGTTCTTTAACATTATTTTCTTTCCTAGTAAATAATGAAATCATAATGTCTTCAAATTCTTCCACTATTCCTTCACACTGAAATACAATACAAAAATATAATTTCTGGATGATAAAGCTTAAAGAAATCCAAGTACTTACATAATATTTTAAACTTTTATTTAAATCACCATCCTGAATAATATCAACTTCACTCATTTCAGGATTCATACCACCAGATGGACCCATTAAATTTAAGATTGTTAATTTTCCATTTGACTTATATGTTGCTCTTACATAGTCTGACATTTTTTCACAAATATTATCCAAAATGTCAGATATATATACCTCAGATTGAGCAAGTGGAATCTTTAAGTAAAAACATATGTTTAAAGACATACTTTGACTATAACATAAAAAATATCGAAATTCATTGATACCTTTTTATGAATAACATTTCCTTCTGCATCTAATCTGTAATTACCTACTTCAATTTCTCTTGAAGGATCAATTTTTGCTAGTTCTACTTCAATTTCTTTTATTGTTGATCTACAAACTACATATTATTAATATTAATTTATTATAATCGCTTTTTACACTCAAGGTAAATAACTCATTACTTACACTTGAATAATCATTTAACTTACCTAAACATTTTAAAAGCTTATTATCAATTTCTGTAGCTTTGATAAAAGCGTTTGTAAGTAAAACGGAAGATATTACTATTAGAATTTTCATCTATAATGAAAATACATATTAATGCATTTTATTAAAAATGATTTATAAAGAAAAGAAATTATAACAATTTAATTTATACTTACATTGTACATAATAAAGGTATTAAATAACATTTATCTAATTCGTAAAGCGTCTAACTTTTCTTAGAGGTGGACACGTGTATGATACTTATATACATATATTGACTGCTATGTATTTACAATGTCAAATGCTAAGCAAACCGCGAATGAGCAGTCATAACGTGTAATTTTTGAATATACCAATATAAAAATGTAAAGATACTATCACGCATAAAAAAACACTAGATTGCAACTTGAATCTGTAAACAATTTTTTATACATAAACATGAAGCATAAATTTATAAATTCATTTATAAATTACATTTATAAATGTATAAATTTATAAATTGTTCGAAATTTTAATATCACTTAAAAATGATTTAAATTACAGAAAATAAGAAATACTTTAATATAATATGAATTTTATGAAGAATAATATTTTTTGAATGAAATTGTAGCTATTTTTGTTTATTTCATATTCTAAAACGTTGTTTGTGTCGTGTGCGTATATATATAACACATCATAGCTTTGAGGCTATGGATCATACCATTTGTTAGTGCGATGTAAACACGTGCCACCCCTTTAAGTGGGAAGTCCATGTTGCTTTTTAAATTGAACAACCATGCTTCAACGTTTTACATAAAGTTACGTTTGTTTATAATATATTTTTGTGAAGATTTATAAATATTAATATCTTTTGACATCTATATTTATTAATATAAATTTTGAAGCTATAGATGTGATGTTTTTGTGGAAATATTACAAATTTAATGGAGATTACAATAAGAAAAAGCATAAAAATGTATGAAACATTAAGTTGTTTATTAGATATTCTATTTAGTGATTTGTGACTAAGCTATAAACATCAAAAATAAATTTTTGCTAATGTTATGTTACTTGATTTGAATTTTATTCTGAATATTTTCAATTTAAAAATAGTTTAAAATATAAAGATATGATAATGTGTAACTTAGACAAGGATTAGAACAATATTACTTTAATATCTTATATCGTATATTCCAATAATTTATAATAATAAAATATGAGTTAAGTTAAATGAAAATACATTTACAATACATCAAAATGGAAGTGTGGTGGTTTTCTCGAGTGATAGCTCATCATCCTTATACCATTTTAATGGCAATTCTTATTTTTTCTTCAACATGTTTGATTCTTCCCCTAGCTATTAAAAAATTTCCAGATTTCTCTGATCCTCAATTAGTGAGTAAACATAACTGGAATTTTTCTATGTTTTTATTTATTTTCTCTTTATTAATTCATATTTTGTTCATTTTGTTAAGGGTTTTGAAGCAAGAGGCACAGTATTAGCACAAAGACTTATTGCTTGGCAAAATTTGTTGGAATCAAATAAACCAAAAGGATTGTTAATTGATAATCCTTTAGAATATTATCATTATATGCAAAAATTAAATCAAGAGGTATTTCTACCACAAATTATATGATATATTATCTTAATTATGTGTATCATAAGTTGTTTATAATATTTCACTTAAAATGTAAGTCCTTGATTCTATAAACTAATATAATGTTTCAGAATTTTCAGAATGCTCTTATACAAAATTATAGTTGCATTGATGAGAATCAATGTATTATTAGAAGAAAACCTAAAAATAAAAAAAAAGGAGGAAAAAAATATCAAAAACAAATTAATAAAGGAGAAAGAGCAGATAAAGTTGAAACTAAAAATAAATGGGAACAATTGATAGAGTTAAAGAACAAAAATAGATTAGATATGATAAAGGATTACAAAAGTCAAGAGTATATTGACAATGAAAATTTCTTCTGTAATTTACCATCTTCAGCTTATGCACGTGTGGTTATTGGTAGAAACTCTGAAGATACAGATTTATGGTCAATGGAAGGTGTATTAGCTCAATGTTATATTGATGGAGAGCTTAGATCAAATTCACATTTTCCTTCTTTATGTCAAATGCAAATGGAACATAACAATACAGAACAAAAGTGTTGTAGAAGTTGGTCACCAGCAAATTATGTTGCGCTTTTGTCTAATCGAAGTTCTTGTTTGGGTGTAACAGAGACTGACCTTAGTCGTGTAGAAACTCTTTTAAAGAGATGTGTTTATTTTTATCAAAATCGCCATTTAACATCAAACTGTGCAGAAGATTTAAATTGTCAAAGACATGTGCCAACTGAATGCTATATGCATAATGCAGCTTACCATCTATTACATTACTTATTAGATATTGATTTTATTTTAGATCATGTAAGAAAATTAATTGCTATATTGTGAAAATTATTGTGAACATTTAAAACGATTTTTAATATAATTTTTCATATTTTGTTATAGAAGCAAGATTCTCAAAATAAGCTAAACTCAACATTGAAATATGCAATGTTATTTTTACCAATTGCTGCAAGTTCAGCTACTTTAGATTTTTATAAAGGATTGAATAATGGTGATCTATCTTATGGAAAGTTTTCTGTAAAGGGAATGCAGTTGGGTCTAAAAAGTACATTGTTTGACCGATTATTAGTGTCAGATTCTATTTTATTACTTATTGGTTTTGCTTTTGTAACAGTTTGTATATGGGCATATACTGGTTCTTTGTTATTAACTGTTACGACCATTACTGCAGTGATTTTTAGCCTTGGCATTTCATATGCATTTTATACTTTAGTTTTACATATCAAGTTCTTCCCATTTATGAATCTCTTGGCAATTATTGTTGCTGTAGGTAAGGAATAAAAAAATATGTGATAATTAAATTTATAATTTTTGATAATAGAAGTTACTTAATATACATTTTTATTTCCTTTAAGGGATAGGTGCAGATGATGCATTCATATATTGCAAAATTTGGGAGAGAGGAAAGGAACAAAAAGTATTAAATAATGGATTGGTTAGATTGGTGCAAGAAACAATGAAACATGCTGTTCCATCTATGTTTGTTACATCTCTAACTACTGCAGTAGCATTCTTTGCATCGGTTGTTAGTAATGTTACTGCTATAAATTGTTTTAGGTAGAAATTTGTTTAAATAATTGTTTTACTAAAATTAAAATATTTAAAAAAGCAGAAATTTGATTTCTACTAATAACATGAATTTTTAGTTTATTTTCAGGAATGACAGTTATTGCAAATTTCTTTTTAATGATTACTTGGTTGCCAGCATGCGTCGTAGTATCGGAACGATTCAAACTAGGTGTTTTGTCTCCTGCAAATTTTATAACGCGAAAAATTATTCGACCCTTACGACTATTTGGAGATAAAGTAGCGTTAACTTTTAATACTTTTCTTACAAGAATAGTTATTAATTTTCGATGGTGCTGGTTGTTAAGCTTGGGTATTATAGCAATAATATGTTGCATCATTGTTTTCCAATACCCTGGTTTACAATTACCAGACACTGCAGATTTCCAATTATTTGATAGTTCTCATCCATTTGAAAAATATGATCTAGTATATTCTCGAAAATTCTGGTTTGAAAAACATGAAACAGTATGTATACAAAATTATAAAAATAATTTTTCGTCTTTTTTTTAATAAAGTTTTTAAACAATTAACAATTCCAGATTAATAATGGAGATGTATTGCCACTAAGATTTGTATGGGGCATTAAACCAATTGATAATGGCAATTATTTAGACCCTGGATTAATTGGTACACCAGAATGGGATGAATCTTTTGATGTATCTCATCCAGAATCACAATTATGGCTTGAAAAATTTTGCCGTAATTTACGAGCTCAACCTTTCTATCGTGATACTTTAGGACCTTTGCTTCCAAACTGTTTTATTGAATCATTGCATAATTGGATGCAACGACGTTGTGAAGATCCTATAGATTCACGCATTAGCTACTTGCCGTGTTGTGAAAAAAGTAAATTTCCATATAACGCTAGCACTTTACAACAATGTGCAGCTGAAGCAAATGCAGAATTATATCGTACACCTGCATATTTGTGGGTTCGTAGTGATGTTTCCGCTGGTTTAAAATTTTTAAATGAACCAAATCTTACACAATTACAAGTACTGAATGAAACAAATTCTTTAACAATGCCAACGCCTAAAATTAAAGCATTAGTTGTCGAGTATGACAGTGTATACAATTACAGTCTGTCCTTCACAAACATGGATTTATTTTTTCAACAGGTATATTTATGAAGTACAAATTCATATTTTTTAGTATTTTTCTTAAAAATAATTATAACGATTAATTTATAAAATACCAACTCAAAAAGTTATTTTTTCACAGGTAGAAACATGGATGCAAAATCAATTAAAAAATGCACCATTAGGAATGCGTGGTGGCTGGTTTGTCAGTAGATTAGAATTTTATGAATTACAGCGAACATTGTATGAAGGTACTCTTTGGGCAATGGGAGTTTCATTAATTCTAGCTCTTATAGTGTTGGCTTTTGTAACATTTAATCCTCTTATTAGTCTATATGCAATTATAACAATTGGTGCAGCAATTACAGTAACAATTGCTGGTTTGATTCTTCTTGGTTGGAAACTAAATGTTTTAGAAAGTGTTGCAGTTTCTACAGCAATAGGTATACCCTAATATATGAATTTTAATCTCTAGAATATAACAAAACGTATATTGTTTTTAGGTCTGACTGTAGATTTTAGTTTGCATTATGTTGTAAGTTATAGAGCTTGTACTTCTAAAGAGAGAGAAAATAAAGTAAAAACAGCGCTTACACAAATGGGTGGTCCAACTTTAATGGCTTCTCTTACAAGTGGTGCAGCTGGTGCTCTCATGTTACCTTCATGTGTATTAGCATATATTCAAATTGGTATATTTTTGTTACTAGTAATGGGTATAAGTTGGATATACGCTACATTTTTTTTGTGTCCAGTATTAGCAATTATAGGTCCATCATCACATTTTGCTCAGTTTGAATATCCTAGGTAAATATTTGAATGCATAATTATAATTTTGCACGTATAAGCTTTAGAAGTTAATTAAATATTAAAATTATCACAGATTGAATCTGTTATGGAATTATCTTCGCAAAAATAAGTCTGGAAATTTGCCTGATGCAAGTACAGATAATAGTAAAGCTAGAAGAAAGGTTAAAGGCAGAGGAATGTGGTCAGAATCTACTTTAAGTACATCTAGTACAGTTTGTCAATTCCATTGTAACGAAATAGAAACTTTCACAAGACCACCACCATCGCCATCATTACCTCCATCTCCATCATCAGCATTACTTCAACAAGATGAAGGTCAAATATAGGAGGCATATTTTAGGGAAGAAAGGAAAGAAGTGTTTAAGATGTGGTATATATTCTTCCGGATTTTGAATCAATGGATTTACTTGTTCATGTGTAACTTATGTCCTATATAAAGCTATGATCATGTGTCACTAATGTGTCATTGGCTGTGTTCAAAATAGTTTTAAGATAATTATTTGTATATTTAGCTATTATTAATATTCATTGGGCTTCCTATATCAGTTATGCAGGTATATGCACGTTATATCCATTGTGATATGAGTCAGGCTTTAAATGCCAAATATATTGCAGACTATTTTGTATTTTATGGTCTATTTTGATTTTCAGTTTTCAACAAATTTTGAAACTATATTCTATGTTTATGAATGTAGCTTTAATGTAACTAATAGTACCGATAAAGTATTGCACCATTAGACTTGCATTTACATATCTATAAGTGCATTTTATCTTCTCTTTTTTATTCAACTTTTGTACTATAGTATGCATTTATATTTAATTTAACATAAATATAAATTTTTTTTTAGATATAAATATTAATATACTTAATTATTTATTTTTTTTGATAAAAAGGAACTTATATATTATAAAATGTAGTTTAAATGAATTGACTTCAAGTTTACATATGATTTAATACGTTTTGTTAATTACTGTATTATATTTTTATATATATTATATGTTCTTTTGAGAAGAAAAAATAAAAATGTTATTTTAAATGTAAATTTGTAATATTTATGATTCAGTGATTACATACAGAGACTGTTTAATTTTCAAGTGGAATATTATAATATATTTAGTGGAATGAATGAATTTATTATGTGTTAAAAAGTAAAATGGTATTGAATCAGCTATTGCACTGAACAATGCTTTCAACCTCATAAAAAGATGTATGTGTGGATGTCTGCAATTAAATTTAAGTAAAAGTAACGGAATGTGGTATTACATATGATTTTATTTCATAATTATCTGTATTGATAAACTATATAAAATACATACTAAGAGAAGACTGACAAGTTTTATAATTTTTGTCAGTAGATATTAAATATGCAAGAAATATTAGAAAGAATTTTTTCATAAACATTTATTTAAAATTTTCCCAGTTGTCACATATTGAACTAAATTTAAGTTTAAATGAAAATTCATTATATTTTGTGATATTTTAGTGAAGATGCTTTATATTCATATATATTACATTTCTATTAAGTTTACAACATTACAAATTATCATACGTAATATGAACTTAAACTCATTCTTTATACACATTTCGTTATTTCAAAAACAAGGTACAAATTGACAATTTATGTACTACATTATGCTTTTAAAAAGATAAAAATGTATACTGTTAAAGAAAATCCATTTTTGTGACTACTATATGTGTGTTTGTCGATTATTTAAATATTTATAATTATCGTTAGAAATAATATTCGATATAATCTAGAATGCATTGGCAATCTTTGATATATCTATATGTGTATGTTACAATAGTGAGCTTGTTATGTATGTTAAATATTTCATGTAATACGTATCTTTGTTAATATTTATCTAGGGTACGTTATGATGAACATATGAACATACACTATAAAAAATTCCATCTCATTTTCCTTGTAATTCTAGATACAAATTTTTAACAAATATCTTGATTAATGATTATTTGGCATTTATGAATATGAATATGGATATGTGTATCTTGGACAATTAATATGTTTCATGAAAGTTATTTTCAAAGCTTAGAAGTATATATTTGATGAAGTTACCTTTATTGACAAAGTTTATAGAATTAAAATATATATGAATGTATCTGTGTGTGTGTAAATATGTTAAAACGTACATGTTAATATATTTAAAATGAAAATCTAAATTAAATTAAATTGTTGAATCGAATATTACCATCTGCCTATAAAATAGGGAGTAAGAAGGAAAAAATATCGATTTGAATCTAATTATTAATATACTGTTCCTAAATTATATTTGAAATATCTATACCCGACGACGTCGTTTTAATAACATTGGACTTATAGGATCGGTTAATGGTCGTTTTTCGATTGGTGGTAAATCCATTTTATATTTGCGAATCGGTTGAGCTTTATGAACAGTTTGTTTCCTTAGTTTTGCAATTTCTTCTTCTTCTTGTTTTTTTCGAGCAGCAATTTCCTATTATTTTTATTTTATCGATACATATTATAACTTTGGAAAAAGGATATTGCTGTAGAAAAGTGAATTACAAATTACTTTAGTTACCATTTGTCTCGTTTCTTCTCTTTGCCTCTGTATTTCTTTTAAAGTATTATCAAACTCCTTTCTTTCTTGCGCTCGAGTTGCTGTTCGTAAAGAGGGTGTTTTTGCTACTTGTAATTTCTTTTTTGACAAACAAGGTATAAATGGCGGTTTCTTCCAGATCTGAATAATTTTAAATACATCAATGTATTTAATGTTTGTTAATACGATATAAAGTGCCACATTGAAATTTATTTTGAATAAAGTTTATTTAATTACCTCGGCATTTTTTTTCATCCGTTTATCGGGAAAATTAGTATTTTTGCCATTTGTCTTAATCATTTCATTTTTGTTATTGTTATTATGATTATTAACAGTAGTAGCCCGAACTTTTATAAACTTAGGAAGAGGAGTTGCACGAAATGTTTTTATTTGTTTCTCCTCTTTCATCATCTAAGAACAACCCTCCAAAAAATAAACATATTTTTAATACCTTATAAAATTAAAAAGAGATGTTTTCATACCTTTTTCATGCGTTCCTGTTTATATTCCTGCTTATATTTTTCTCGTAAATCAAAATTGAATGGATATATTGCTGTACTATGGGGTTTCTTTACTTCCTTACATGCTTCAGTTTTTATTTCATTTTTCTAGAATGTTTGACTCAATTTCTTAGGAATCGGTCGTAATTAGTTTAAATAATATCGATTAATATCAATTGTATAAATTAACGCTACATACCACTTTAATGCTAGCATTATGAACTACGTATTCTTCTTTTTCTTTCTTTTGTTCATCATTATAGTTATCGTTCTCTTTTTCAGCTGTTTCATATTTTGCATCGATTAAAGAGATATTATTTAAAGATCTACGAAATAATTAAATTATTCTTTTCATTATTATGATATAAAGATGATGGTATAGAAAGATAATAATTTGAGACTATTTTAAAGAAATTCACAATTGTAATTCTTACGCGACCAACGTATCAGCTTCTGTTACTGTACTTGGAAGTTTTATGTTTGTAAGATTCGGATTTGGTGTGCTCACAATTACAGTTAATTTATCTGAAGATGATAATCAGAGAGAGAGAGAGAGAGAGTTAATTGTATTATTTAAAGTTGATTGAGATTAATGCGAAAATTTAAGACTCTCAATTTTTATTAGTCTTCAAGGATACCGGTTCACTTACTAAAGAAGGAATCGCCAATGTTGGGCAAATTCGAGAAATCAACAAATTGTGGAGATTCAATCACGTCCCATTTTTCGTCTTTAATAGGTTTTCTGTAATTATTCCAATTATTATTTGCAGCTTCCACTTCGATGTTTTCCTTTTGCCACAGTTTTCGAGATGGTGTATAGTTATTCTTTATGTATGGCATTGGTGGCGCAGTTTGTCCATGCTGTACGTTTAACAGTTTTGCGGGTGATAGCATTATCTTAAATTTAAATGTACACAATTCGTTGTAAGAATTTTGTCAATAACTTAAAGTAAATAAATATTTTAAATTCGACGTGAAAACAATTTTAATGCCACCGAGACAAATTAATAATTATTCGATGCTTTATCTCTAAACGGACAGATATTTCGCAACCGTAACTCGCGTGTTTATATATGAACAGGTCAAGTTAGACTTGATTTCCGTAGGGAACGAAACACGTGAGAATAACAATGATTTAAATAGCATTTACGGACATTGGTTATACTTTATGTCATAAACAAAGTATTGAATTTCAGAGATTATTCATCAAAACAGAGCTAGAAATTATGAAAAAGTTACCTATGTTCATGAAAAATGTATTAAATGGTGATAATAAAATTACGTCTATTTTTATTTAAATATTACAATATTTTATGCGCTATGATTATTTTCAATTTATTTCAATATTGCGTTTCATATTTACATTAAATATGACGAGTTGCGCGCGATCATTGATATTCCGTGCACGTGAACATTTCTATGGATACAAACGCGCACAACAAACCATGAGTTATTCATATCGTCCTATCGTTTACCGAATTTTTCAAACAAACGTGCCGATATGATTGATATTTCTGCTGTTCAAAAATCACAATTGATACGGTGGTCGTTTGGTCTGATACAAAGGAAGAATTCTTTAAAAAGGTTCAACGTACCAGTGGCAATATGACAATCTGTCGTGCTGCATTACGATAGGGTGCACAGAATGCACGCGGAAAACCTTTAATTGAAATAACTGTCCATCATAAACAGTAAAAAAGGACATTAAACATGCACGGTTTACGGTAAGGAAAAGTTATTTTCTATTTCGGTCTTTCATGTACATATATTCGATTCTAGTCGGATTACTTAAATTTCGTAAGATATACAAACTGCGGGTCATTAGACATTTAAGTTTCTATTACCTCATCTTATTTATTTCTTTATGTCGCGTAATTTTCAGAGCCGAACACAATATTGGCGGTCTCAGTACAAGTCGATGGCTGGAAGCACTTTGGGAACCAGCAGCCAGATTATACACTTTACCAAATACTCTTGATATGCTCGATGTAAGCGGCGATGGAGATGCTAGGCTTATCTGTGCCGATTTAGAGACACTTGGAGCCAATTCGCCCAAAGTAACGCAATGTTTTGACATCGAAAACTCCTTCGAGTGATATTCCTCGTATTTTCTCATAAAAAGGTCTTTTATTATGGATTCATTTTCCCAGATACGAGTTTACAAGGGTGGCGATCAGATAACGGAGCACAACATGGTAGACCCGCCATGCGGAGTGGTTGGTTTTTACACCGAGAATGGAGAACCTCGATCATCCGTGTTGGCAGTAGGTGTTGGTTCCAGTGTCTACATCTTCAAGAATATGAGACCTTATTTTAGATACTGTTTGCCGTACATCGATGTGCATCCGAAAGAACGAGAGGTGCAGGAAATTTTCTTCCTTACTGACTGCCAGTTATCAGATCTACGAGTTTCAAACGATAAATCTGATTACAGATCTGGCATAAAGCCGGACTGGACGAGGAATTGAATATACTAACATTAGCCGACGAGCTGGATCTGCTGTTGAAGGAACTTGGTGCGGGATTTATCTCGCCACGAACACTGAGATTCCTGTCTTTGGATCCAAATTTAAGACCTAGTTTCGCGGAAGAGTACAGACGAATTCCACTTGTTAAAAGCAATGCTTTAACCGCGGTTTCCGTGATTCGTAGAGATTCGTGGAACGATCCGGCGAGTGGCTGTCTCGTACTGGGTACGGAATTTGGAGAAGTACTTATCTTGGATCCTCGGTAACACGCTGTTTTAATTAGATTCTGTATTTAATTACAATTTTAATTGTTAAATTCGTTGAGACGATTCTTGTGACACTTGTCATAGAACACTTTCCGTTATGGACAAACATTTATTGGAATGGCCACCAGTAGCCTTCGCATGTATAGGTCTGTGGACTGGTGATGGGAGGATAGTAACTGTCGGAAGGGACGGTAAAATCGGTACGATAAGAAGAGGAAGTCCTGTAAAACTTTGGGAAAAGTTACCATCACCGGCTGTAGGCATATCAGCACTCAATAACGATGGTACCGCGGTAACTGTTATGGACGGCACTTTGATTGGTTTCTCCAGAAAGGTACGTGTAAGACGTTTATTTCGGGTATAGATAATTGCAAATGACACTGGATTAATCGTATAGGGAATTAAACTTTGGCACGTTCATATTCCGGGTGCGATTTTGGATTCCATAAGCCTACCAGTTCCCCAGATTGGACTTTCTTTGCTCGCTGTAAGTACTGCTGGATACGGTATTCGCGTATACGATGGGAAACATCACGTAGATACATTGAAGGTTACGGAACCAGTGTCTGCGATGAAGGTAATCGCAAAATAGTAGTTTTTAAACTAAATACCCAGTGATATAAAAATTGTTATATCTTATATTTCTTCTTTTTTTCCTTTTTTCTTGAGATAGTACGGCAAAATGGGTCAAGAAGAAAGAACAATGGCAATGGTCACCGTAGGTGGTGGCCTCTGTGTGAAAATACTAAAACGTACCGCTGATTTTAGCATTCATAACGCAATGTCAAATTTGACGTTGAATGACAGTTCTAGATTTGTAATTCCAAAGAAAACGCGATTGTTCGTGGAGCAAACGATACGAGAGAGATCCGAAGCGAAAAAGATTCATACTACTTTTCAACAAGGTCTCCTACGACTGAGACTGATGGTGGCTAAAAAGGTAGTAGAATCTTTGAATGACAGTCAAGATGCAGGTCCGCATCCGCTTACCATGGAAGCTACTGTTTTAGGATTGGGTCCAAATTATCAAATTCGTATTTTATTGACGAATATATCCGACGAATTATCCAACACCGATTTGTACATCGTTTGTAGAAGCGAAAATACAGAAGTGAAACCACGTGTGATGGATGTCCCTCTGTTACCGAGCGGCATTCCGATTCCTTTGATTGTTCATGCGATTTTGAAAGGTCGGATATCGGGAAAGGTGGAGATTTTGCTGTGTAGGAAATTGAAAACGAAACCAATAACTGTGACAACGGTGATTCTACCTGCTGCCGAAGAAGATATCGAAGTTTAGTCTTAAAATGTAGAATTCTATGAGAGAATATTTTTTGTGTACCTTGTTTCAAAATACTCATGCATCGCAAGTACCTATATGATATTATAATATATGGTCGTGTAAATATTAATTAAAGAATGTTAAAGAAGAGGTTTTGTAATTGTATTAAGGATAAAAACATTACATCAAAATAGTTGTTCGTCTTCTTAATGACTTTCTTGTAGTGAAACGACGTTTAAACGATGTTATATAATTGCATATTTTTTATGTATAATATTTAAATATCTTAATATATTTATTTCATCATAGTCAAAACTATATGATTAGCAAAATTCTATTAATAATTTTATTATTATTTTGATATTATTTATTTTTATTTTCGTTTTCGTTCATGTAATTTAATGATATTAAAATATTTCTTTATAGGATTTTAATTTTATTTCATTTCGCTATTGGATTTTATGTATTATTATTGCTATTATTATATATTTTGTTTGCGTAAAAGAACGTAATATTTTCTCTAATGTTTAAAATATCGCGGTATCCCCATTAAACAGCCGGTAATATCACCATTCTTCGTATCTACTCCACCCTTTGCTATTTATATATCGTCCACTACAGCTGATCGAAGGAAACCCATATAAACTGTTAGACTAAACACGCAAACATTGCGGGCTGGTCGCAGTTATTTATTGTCTGTGCAAAATGTACAGTCAACGCAGGAACCCGAAAATGATCGATAATTAATAAGAAGTGGATGGAGACATCCGATCGAAAGAAATTTCCATCTTTCTGTGATGTCGAAAAAAATTATCATGCTTCCGATATGTTACTTTCCAAGGCGATATCTCATGATTCTCCAGTTTCAAGTCCTTTTAATCTTATTACTTTTTCCAGGTAAATTTGTATACAAAATTTTTAAATATTTCCTTTTGTTTAATGAATTTATAATTTAATTCTTTTTTCCTCTATTTGTATCTTCTAGCAATATTTTAAAATATCACATTTTTTTTAAAGGTAGTATTCAGTTATACATACAAATATAATTTTCATTTTTATTTAAACAAATTTATATTTTACTTAACGTGTAAATAACTTATATTTGTAGCTAAAGAATGCACTATGCCAGAAGCAAGTCAAGAAGGATTACTGCATTCATTCAAAAGTTATTCAGATATAGCAATGTTTCATTACACAGTCCCGAAAGAAGTACTTAGAGCTACATGGCAATTTGCTGCATTCATGGATGGTCAAAACTGTCCAGAAAGAAAAGTACATATGTAAATATTCACTTTTATTTTTGCTTTTATAAATATATAAGATTTTACGATATATTTATTTTTATTATTATAATTTTCAGATATCTGCAATGGGGCAGTTATCCTGTGATATCTGTAAATAATGATACATTTCCTAATGATATGTATCCTAAGCGTAATCATACTATTATAGTTTCTGCAATTACAACATTTGAACCAAAAACCACTGCAATTGTACCGATTTATGGACCAGAAGCTGGAGATTGGTTTGTTGGAGCATATTTGTCTCATTGGGATGAAAAAGTTCAACAACAGGTATATTCTAATTTTTATCTCCTTTCCATTGATAGATTATTTTATATGAATTGTGCAACTTTTTTACATTTTAGGGTCTTGGACATAAATGTCATTATAGTATAGGCTCTGTAGCTATATGGACACAAACCAGTACTATTGAAAATATTCCCATTGGTTATCAACAAACATTAAAAACGAAAGAAGCTACTTCTTATTACAAGTAAATTTTTTTATTACTTATATTGATAAGTGTGAAAATGAAAAATTATTACTATATTAAACTTTTTTAGGATATATATCCCATCTGGAACATGGAATTTTCATATAGATATTTGGGGTTGTAATTTTACTGTGCATAAATTTCATAGCATACATGAACTTTGCATTAAAAATATGGCACTACGAGGACGCTCTCTACCTGTTTTTAATCATTCTGAACCAAATGAAATTGGAAATTTAACTATATTAGATTCATATACCTTTACAGAATCATCACCTTATGAAGATAGTTATTATTATTTGATGATTATTTCGGATAGTATAATTGAAGTAAATGTGAAAGTAGTTATCTCAGGTAAATTTGTTATCTATGACTCTTTTTTTGATTTAAATTAATATTAAATATATAATCTATTTTCATTTTTTAGAATGTCCAATTAGAATAACAGAGAAATCTTTTGTAAGGCAATATTTAGATGCACCTTCATTTTCTAAAGCATTGGCTCAGTTGCATATGAAAGATATAACTAAACATCATTTACATCACAATGAAAATAAAAATAACGAATCATCTTATAATGAAATTGATCTTATAAAAAATCAATTTCGTATATTAGAAGAAAATTTTGATGAGCCATGTGTCCCAAGATATCAACTAGCTAGAATTAAACATTCACAAACATTTTCAGGAGTTTATTTACTACAGGTACTATACTGTTAAAAAGTATGAATATTAATTATAATATAAATATAAATATAGATACAAATAGAAATATAAATAAAGTTATATTATTTATTAAATATGTATGCAAAACTTTGATTTTCAGAGTAGAGAATGGTTAACTTCGTGGGTAATATTAAATGATGTACATCCAATAATAACACAATTTAATGTTTTGCCATTAGTTGATATTGGTGGTACACTTGATATAAGTGCTCATTTGGAGATGGATAAAGTAAGCAATAATAACTGAAGCTCTTATGTGAGCAATTTAATCTATTATGTACTTTACAGGTGGCAACAAAACAATTAGTGAAAGTTACACTTTGTGTTCGGCGCGGACGAATTCCCAACAGAATTAAGAACAATATTATATGTGAAAACTCGAAAATGTCGATGATCTTATCTTCATTTGATAAACATGACAAAAGTTTATTAATACCTTATCCACAACCTGATACTTGGTATGTTACCTTAGATGCAACTTGCTATTTTAATGGGTAAGATTATATTTTTAGATGTATGTATTGTAAATATTAAAATTAAGATTAAATTACAAATACAAAATAATATTATCAATTAAATAGAAAACCCGTAAATTGTGAAATGGAAGAAATTTTAGTATCATTGGATATACGAACTAGACAATGTGTATTTGCCGGAAATTATCCATGTGGCCGTCATGGAATTTGTCAAGAAATTCATCGTGATATTCTTTATTATACAACGTGTAAATGCTTTGAAGGTTTGCTTATTATTTACAATAATTAATTACTGTTTATATCATTTCTTTCATATACACTGATCTATTATACAGGCTATAAAGGATGGGGCTGCACTGATGCCACTAGTGCCAATCCAGAATCTTCTCTCCTTATAACAACAATGATGCTTACTTTAAGTAATGGTTTTTTCATACCTGCTATATATTTAGCTATTAAACGCGGATTATATACCGAGGGACTAGTTTATTTGGCAACAATGCTTTTTTCATCTTTATACCATGCTTGTGATCAACATGTTATGACATATTGTGTTGCTAAATATGAAGTACGTAAATTGTTGTATAATAATTGTTTCTTATATTTGGTTTGAAATTCTATATAAAATATTATTAAATTTATTTCAGGTGTTGCAGTACAGTGACTTTTTTTCAAGCATATTAGCATTTTGGGTAACTCTTGTTGCAATGGCTGAAATACCGATTCGTTTTGTATCATTGTGTCATATGTTTGGAGTTTTTATTATAGCTTTTGGTGTTGAATCCAATAAAACAAGCTTAACTAGTATATTAGTACCTTTAGGAATGGGCATTATGATCCCAGTAAGTAATTTAGAAAAAACATATATAATACTGTTATTTCCCTTTTTGTATATTTTCAGATGGGGACATATGCTTATCGTTGTTTCTATTTTAAAAAATGGAAAAAGCCTGATAGAATTTCAAAGTTATTAGCAGGTTTAACATTAGCAGTTGTAGGTTTATTGCTCTTTTCACTAGTTGAAACTGAAGCAAATTACCAGGTATGTATAAGATATGTTATGAAATCGAAAAAAAAGGAAAAATTATTTATTGTTTTGTAGAAAATATTTATTTATTTGTTTATTTGCAGTATGTTCATAGTGCATGGCATATGATAATAGCCATCTCATTGATATTCCTTTTACCACCATCGCGATTAGAGCACATTGGTTCTTCGGGTTCTAACTCATCTAACGACGATAGTGAATTACTCGATTATAAGGACCCACCAGGCAGTCCAATTTTTACAGTGACCAGTGGTGAGGAAAATCTGGTAATTGGGTCAAATTGAATATTGCAATAAAAATAATTAGGGAAAACAAACCAAATACGTACTATTATTTAAGTTACTTGTGCCAAAAGAGTGTTCTAATTCTCTAAGTAAAATGTAGATTATAGTGTTATGATAATCAAAATTAGAGAATTGAATGTACATATACAAGTATCATGTATGTGTACATAAAATATTTATGTATAAATTTTATAATAGTTCCTAATTAAGAATGCATAAGTGATTATAGGGTAATCTATGTTGAAATTTTCAACTTAACACAGCTCAATGTAACATATAACTACTTTCAGCCATAGAAGCTGAATGAACTTACAAATGGTGCTATTCTATTCTTACTGTGTTGTTTTTAGGGTATAAACAATAATACTAATAGAACTATTTTTATATACTTTTATTGTTGAAAATTATATTGTAACATGTTAAATAAGTCACAAAAAAGAATTGATATCTATTTTTTCTAGAAAATTACATCATTAAACGATATTATCTAAAAATTTGTGACGATATATTGAGTTTATTGTGTTAATATTAAAATTTGTGGTTTTTATATAGTTTTCTTTACAACCGTGACGCAATTTTTAGAAGAAGTTTGTTACAGCATTTATAATATACATAAATACAAATATAGTTATATATATTACTATATTTTTCGATAGAATTAAGTACACTATATTGCTTATGTGCTATACTTTTTTTCTTCTATAAGCAATTTTATATATGTACTTTATGTATGTTATGTGTCTAGTAGTACAGAAAATATTAATTGCATAGATTACCCTATATACATTGCCACTGATAAACTACATCCAAAAGTACTCATTTTATTTTTTACTTTTTAAATATCTTTTGTTATGTATAAAAAAATATAATATATATCATGTGTATGTTCTGTGTAACTACTATAACTTTGGGAAACATGGAAACGCAATGCAGCATATATATATCTTAATTAAGGTAGAGAAACATACTATATGTCCAATATTATTTCATCTTTCTTCCACATTTTGTCATATTCAGAGTTGTGTAAGGGACCACAGAATATAATAAAAGGTACTAATAGCATATTAGGAAATGAAAGTATGAATGTTGTGCCTAAATACAGGTAAATTATTCTGAAGTTATTCAAATTTCAAAAGGTAAATAACTCAGTAGTTACAAGTTTTATTATTTTAAATATAAAACTTTTTGTATAAACAATATAACAATAATTATTTTAATTTATGCTTCAATTAAATATTTTCTGATTTGATGGTATTTAAAAAAGTTCTAAGTGAAAACATATAATATAGTAGATAAGAAATTGGAAACTGCTATAAATATTAGATGAATGTTAATTTGATATTAAAAATTCCCAAAGTTAATTAGTTTTAATGCAGAAGATCCACCCATAGTCTCTATATAAATTAAAAGATTATATTTATGTGTATATATAGTACTTTCAACATTGTAATTTAATTTCTCTTATTTTATGTAATATTAGTTATAATATCTTATTCATAACATTTTTATAATTATCACTTAAGGAAGTATAATTTATTATTATCATTATTATTAACAGTTTAACTTTTAATTACAACCTATACAAATTCAGTTTGATATGATAAATTACTAAAGTATATTTACTTTAGTTATTGTTCAAATACCTCACAATGTGTAAAGTGCCATTTAAAATTTCTCTTTCATCCTATGCCGATTATATTATAAATCTTATTTTTACACTATTAAAAAAGGCAGGGTGATTGATACATGAGGAATTCATACAAAGTAAATCTTTAAAAGATTTATGTATGATACATCATTTAAGATTTTAAACAAAGAAAAAGGTAGAATGATATAAACATTAATCCTAAAAAGTATATTAACAATGTGAATTGTATTATAAGTCTGTCAAGAATACAGAATGAATAAAAATAATATAATATTTCGTATCATATAAAGTATAAAGTAAATGGACATTCCATATAATGTCAAATAAATTATTTAATATTTGAGTTTGATTTTCTACTATTTATTTTAAATTAAAAATAAAACTTTATATGTAACAAAATTGCAAGTATAATACCCCGTCCAAAATTACAGCGATATCATTTTCTTTATAATGTAGTAACAAAGAGTTATTATTGATATATAAAATTTTTGTAATCAATTTTTTATTATTTCCTCTTAAAATAAAATTCGTCATATCTCTTCTTACAATCCTAGTAACTTGAAAACTTTTATTATTGTATTAGATTTAAATTGTAAATGTTAAACATCTTTCTTCTCTTGTCAATTATATCTAATACATGTTCATATTGTTGCAAAACATACCTGAAATCATGCATAATACGTCCTCTTTAGAGATACAAATGTAGAGAAGTCATACAAAAAAAGATGTTTAGCAGAAATGAGAAAAAATATTTAAAAAGGGAAAGCCTATCACTTCAATAAATCTGTCTAAATGATTTATAGTTTTACTTACTTTCCAAGCTCACAATCTCCTATCCAATCTAGTGCATTTATGATGATAAAATATTGATTTCTTAAGTATTGTGAGATGCATAACAAATTTACGTCGATATCAGCTTTTTGTTTTGACTGATCAATGGCGTTAATATAACAATGTTCGATTTCGTTATTAAATATTTCCCATATCTAAGAATTCGTTTATTACTACTATAAATAACTTTGTTTAGTAATCAACACAAGTATATTATTATACTAGTGTTATACCTTTGTCCACTTGATTTGCAATATATCTCGTAAACTTTTTCTGTTTCTAAATTTTCGTAAAGCATAAATTGCTTCAATACCTTCTTCTATATTCTTTATATTTTCAAATATATCATTAATTAAATTTATTGTCATATTTTCTAATTGTTGAATCATATACCTAAATTGTTCAATTTTTTTAAGCCAAGTCGATTTAGAAACATTGAAGATAATAACGCGATCTGATATAACTTCGTCTAAGCTTTCATAAAACAAAGATTCAATTTCCCGCCAATACGTTTCATATTCGGTTCCGTTAGGACCTCCAATTAATCCTATTGGACTGTCTCTGTTAAATGATATAAGAATTACGATTGACCTACTATATATGTATATATATATATATATATATACTTATACTTTTAAATACCTTCCAAATACTATCAGTGTTTTACAAATTTCAATGACATCATAGCATCTTTGTTTAAAAATATCAATTTTATTGAAAACTTCCTGTTTATTTACGTCCCATATTTTATCAAGATTCGTATAAAATGTAGTATTTATCATGATCTACAATAAAAATTAATGGATTGCTACATAATAAATAAATTATTAAAACACGGGAAAGTATATTCAATAAGGAACATACGTTATCATAAATAGTTTTATAAACATCACAACAGAATATACACTTCTCCAACATCTGTATGCCCACTTCAGGATTATTTCCAAAGGCAACGTCTAGTTTAATATATTTTTTACATTCCTCCATTATCTGTGAGCTCAGAGCTTGGCATAATGTTTCCATATTAACCCTAAAAATATTTTTCTTTTTAAATATATTCATTAAATTGTTTTTCGACAAAACTCATTTTTTTTTACTTAGTAGAATAAAATGGCGATTCTGTCCAGATGAATAATATGAGAAGCAACGCTTCTGTCACAGAATTTTCAACGCCTTCTGGAACTTTTAAATCCTTACAAAATTGAAGTAAAATATTTAAATACATTAAATTTGATGATGCTTCTTTTAATCCTGTATCAATATAAATAGTTGTTTTCTCTAATTTATTTGCACTTGGGGAATGCAAGTTTTTCAATATGTTAATGATCAATTGAACTTCTGTATTAAGAAGTTGAGTATGTAGAAGATTCAAATTTGAACCTATGAAGAATATATTTTTTATAGCGAAAAATTTGAGTCATAATGTATAATGATTCGAAATTTTTCCAATAATTAAAACAAAGGAATAAATGAATATAAAAGAATCAAGTTAACTTGAGAAACTGACTTTTTGTATTCCAATAATTAACTTCATCTTGTATATTTTTAACTTTTCTTGTTATCGATGTTGTTGTTGCTTTACGTATTTGTCTAATCCAAAATTGAACTACTTTTTCTAATCGGCTGATTAATTTTCGTTTTCTTTCATCTTCCTCCGAAAGGGACATCGTTTGATTTGTTCCCATTAAAAAATTATTATCTTTATCCGAAGATCTTAAAAATGTTTCAAGGAGACATTCCTTTGGTACGTATAAAATAGTCAGATCTATCGGTTTGTAAATTTCTTCCATTAGATGTGTGATAAACTTATGTAAATTTAAAACAACGTCATTTCTTAGAACTGTTCGTTATGGAAAATTGTAACGTTAATATAGAAATATGATAAAGTAATGATAACAAATTGGTATAAAGCTTAAGAAAGAGGTAATCAACAGAAACGTTTAGTTAAAATATAAAATTTTGTAAAGACAATGAATTATACTATAAAAACAAAAACTTCTAAAATTTATTTGGATACATGATGCGTAATCATCACTATGAAGCACAATTGGTGCATATATATTTTCCATAAATTTTAAAATGCTATTTTTAATATTATTGTTAATACTGCCAAATGAGACGGTGTTTAAAAAATTTTCTGCAGTATAAATTTGCCACGATGATCTTAAGAAATATGTAAATCCCTTAGATGCATGTATCGGAATATTTAACATGGCGTTTAATTCATTTTTGTCGTAAAATGTGGTCAGTACTGTGTATGTTGGATTTTTAAAATATTCTTGAATTGTTTTATCAGAATGCTCGTTCCAACTTATGCCATTGCAAGGGTATATTGTTAAATCTTTTACATATTTTACCTACGAATATATTCAAATAAACATTTAATTGCCGCAACGAAGTGTATAAAGTATTACTATTTTTGTAACAAAATCTTAAAAGTCGCGCCACAGTACCACTGTGACGAAATTACTCTTATTGCATTGATATATACAGTACTAGGTAATTGTTTGAAATAATAATTTTGCATAATTTTAGAGATATCTGATTTAGTGTTACTTATTAGTCAATAAATAATAATAATATTATTATTGATAATAATAAATTATGGTAACTTTACAGAACACGAATTCCAATGTTTCAAATGTCAATTTAATGAAAGACGTAATATCGGGTATATTCTTACTAAGGCAATTAGATCTTCTTTACTGAATATTGGCTTCTCCGGTTCTATAGGAAGTTCTTCTTCAATTTCTGGTGGTTCTAAAAAAATGTAATTACATATTTTAATTTTTTTCATTTATAGAGAACAAAATTTTATTTGAATGAAAATTACTGCATCATTAACAAAATTTTAAACAAAATTTTTAAATAATTTAACAACAATCTGTAATTTGTTAGGAAGCATGAATCCTAATGAATCATCTTATATCATTTAGTTAAAAAAATTTTAACATTTTAAATTTTAATAAATTTTGAAGCCTTGGTATTTAATTATTTTACCTTCATGTCCAAACTCTTCTTCATCGGTATCCATATCTAAAAATTCTCGATGACTGTCTATCATTTTATCCGACCTTTTTAAAATTTCAGATTTTTGTTCCCTTTTTAAGTTCATTTTTTCTCTTTATGTTATATAATGTATCTTATCAGGTCCAAATATAAGTATATGAGAAATAAATACAAATCTTAGTCTATCTATCGTCTTAGTTTCGCATTCTTCTTTGTTAGATCGATATATTTTCCGTTGCTACCCAGTAGGTAATCATTTTTATTATATAAAAAATATGAATTAATTATTTAAGAAAAATGGATTATCAATAAATAAGCGGCAGGAAAAAAATTAAAATATTTATTGAATATTATTAAAAAGAAAAAAAAATAACACGAATTCAGTAGTGATAATTACTACGCCTGAAATTTATTTTAGGTGAACTTATCGATTTTTATGAGCTTGGATATTTAAAAAACATCAAAATCAGTAAGGAATCAATGTATCGATAAGCTTATCTTATTTTATTTTGGAACATAAATTATAGTTTCAGTAAATTTAGAATATCAAAAAAATTGAATATAATGTCTTTGCCTTCAAAAGAAAAGATATTTGTCGGTTCGTTTATTCACACTAATCAATATGGAGAATTGATTATTGTTGTTCACGGTATGATTCACGTTAAAAATGGCAAGGTATTGATCAATTTTTATTTATTTTTCATTGTAGCTTCACTGTGAAATCAATATAAATAATTTATATTCGAAATATAACATGATTTAAAGTATAATATATTCGTTAATGTTTAGATTTGTAATATAGTAGTCAATCCAAAATTAAGTGATATCAAAAATGAAAATGTGAGTGTTCTTAGCAACAGTCAATTTTTAATACCAGGATTTATTGATTGTCATATTCATGCTGTCCAATTACCAAATTTAGGTGTTGGGTATGATAAAAAGCTTTTAGAATGGTTGGAACGCTATACTTTTCCTTTGGAAAAAAAATATGCAGATGACAAATTTTCTGAACAAGTATTTAATACAGTTGTAGTAAGTTCAATATGTTTAACATTCATATTAACACATTTTAAATTGTATTTATATTTTATACAAAGAATAACAATAATATTTTTTAACTATAGAAACAAACTGTAGTAAAAGGTACAACAACTGCATGTTATTTTGCATCTCTATATTCAAAAGCTTCTGTACTACTTGGACAGGCAGCAATTAATATAGGTCAGCGTGCTTTTATTGGGAAAGTCAGTATGAATATGAAACGTAATGATGATTACTATGAAACTACAGATGAATCTATAAAAAATATAAATAAATTTATAGAAACATTGAATAACTTAAATGTAAAGCTACAGTATTATTTAAATTTATATTTTACTTTTTTTGCTATATATAAATAATAAACATTTATTCATATAACAATTATTATAGAGCCACCTCATAAAACCAATTATAACACCAAGATTTGCCTTAAGTTGTGATATGACACTGATGAAAGAATTAGGAAAATTAGCAAAGAATAAAAATCTTCACATCCAGGTATTACATAAATTAATGTTTTTGTTTATATGATTTCACACATAAATTAATGTTATTAAGTAATATATTTCAGACACATATCTCAGAAAATCTAGATGAAATAGAAGCTGTAAGGAATAAATTTCCTGAATACTCTTCATATGCAGCCGTGTATGATGCGGCTGGGATTCTTACAAATAAAGTATGTTAAATGAATATATAATAAACATAAGAAGAGTAAAAACTCTTTTCCACTTTTAGACAGTGTTAGCTCATGGAATATATCTTTCGGATAATGAAATTGCATTAATAAATGAACGTGGTGCAGCAATTGTACATTGTCCTTCATCAAATACATGTTTAAAAAGTGGCCTCTGTGATATCCAAAGACTGAAAAGTAAAGGGGTAAAAATAGGACTTGGCACTGGTAAAAATATATTCCTTTTATTTATTAATTTTATAATAATTGTATAATAATGATGTAGATTATTTTAATAAAATTTATTTGTAGATGTTTCAGGTGGACAAAGTTGTAGTATTTTAGACACAATGAAAGCAGCTTTACAAGTATCAGTTCATTTATCATTGATTAGAGATAATTATGAAGCACTTAATTATAAAGATGTATTTCATATGGCTACTTTAGGGGGTGCAGCAGGTAAAGTTTACAGGACCGAGTCAAGATTTTGTTGTACAAAGATATTGAATCTTCATTTAACAAAATTTTTTTTTAGCCCTTGCGATGGATAATCAGATAGGAAATTTTGAAGTAGGTAAAGAATTTGATGCACTTGTTGTGGACATAGATGTAAGTGATGGAATTTTGAATAATTTGCAAAGTAGTACATTGGAAGAAAAGTTACAAAAATTCATATATTCTGGAGATGATCGTAATATAGTTGAAGTATATGTAAATGGATGTAAAATTAAATAATGGTAATTTATATTCTTAGTACTTTCATGTTTTATGTTTATCCTATTATGTATATAGAGAATTTCTGTAATCACACAATAGTGTAATTGTAGTCCCTTTGCTCATATATTTACAAAACCTATAATAAAAATTATTTATTATTGTTTATTATTATTTATTGTTGTAAAAATTATTATGTTGTTTTAGAAATTCCTTTACACTCCTAGCAGCTTGCTCGAATGCTTTTTCAAAACCAGCACTGTCAGCATCCTACAATTAAAAACTCAAATCATATACTATGTATTAAAAGGGATATGACAATAATAAATAAATATTAATGATACTTGCAAATAATGGATCTCGTATATTTAGTTCTCCATTTGGATCATATTTTCCAAGAAGTTCAATTTTTGCTTGACTATTATCTGGTTGCATGTGACACAAATTATAAACTATTCCATTATCCATTCCAAATATCCAATTGAAGTTGTAAAAGTCTTCCTTTGTTATCTATAGATATAAGAAAATATATTGTCTACTTTTTGTAATGAAAAAAATATATTACCTGTCTTGCTATGTGAGTATAATCTATAATACCTCTTTCTCTAAGTGTATTCATAGCTCTAGGCTCTGGATGATTACCTACATGGTATTGTAAAAGTGCAGCACTGTCTACTTCCCAAAAGTCAACAAGGTGTAATTTTTTTATTTCATCACGAAACACTGCTTCTGCTATTGGAGAACGACAGCTGTTTCCTGAGAATTTAATACTGATACAATAAAAGTTAAAACCTTTGTAACATTACTCTGAGTAAATGATTAGCATTTCTTGACACACCTAAACACACCATTAATACTTTCTGTTTTGATGACATTCTGCTATTTACTAATTTTTGAACAGCATACGATCACCTTTCATTTGTTGACAGTATTGATACAGTCAAAATGTAAGGTTATGTTAGAAACCTTGAAAAATAAAATAGATCCATATATATTTCGTTGTACACAATTGTTTGAGGAATATCTATGTAGATGTTAAATAGAAATTAAAGTTAAGAATATGTTACATGCATTGCATTAATATGTAATATGAAATAAACTTTTTATTTAACATACAAAAAATGATTAAAATATTAAGTTAAAAATTTTAATCGCAATTCATTATCCAGTTTCTTATGATAATATTTCTTTACATTTAATTAACGAATTACAAGTTTAATAACATTATTAATAGTACATTCAAGTTTTATGTTGTTCCAAAAAGGCTACTATACTCCGCACACATTGCTCATATACTTTCTTAAATCCCTCAATGTTCATGTCCTGTAAATGAAATTTTTAACAATTTAATTTTTTTCCTATAATAGATAGTATAATCTTATATTAAATCTGAAGAAAAGCATTTTATATGAAAATAATGTTATACATAGAACTCTACATAGTATGGATCTCTTATTATAATTTCTTGTTGTGGATCATATTTTCCAAGAAGTTCAATTTTGGCTTTACAATCATTAGGTTTTAACCGATTTAAGCTTTTAATATTCTCGTTATCCATTCCAAATATATAATCATATTTATAAAAATCTTGTTGATCAATCTGTAATAAAAAAAGTATATTATTATTTATATTTAATATTGCTTACACAATATAAGAGTTTATTTACTTGTTTCACTTTGTGAATGTAGTTAATAATACCATTATCTCTTAGTACAGACAGAGTTCTGGAATCTGGAGGTTTGTGCAAATGATATTGTACAAGAGCAGCACTTCTTACTTCCCATCTGTCAGCTAACTTTAACTTATTTATTTGATCTTGAAAAACTGCTTCTGCTATGGGTGAACGACAAATATTTCCTGGCAGATAAAAATCATACTTTTTACTGTTAGTGTACACGTACACAGTTCTTTGAATTTGTTGGTTATTGAAGTATTTTGAAACATACCAAGACAAATCATAAGTACCCTCTTTTTTTCATTCATATTTAATTATTTTATATAAAAATTAAATCGTAATAGTGTTAATAATAGATAACGATATAATCTCTTAAAAGCAACCGTTCTTATATAAATGAATGAAACAATGTGACTATGTTTTTGCCAGGCATACCAATTCTGTATTATTTGAAAAAGTTACTAGCTATTTCAAAATTTCAGATGCTGTAATGCTTTTCTGACTATTAGAAGTGCTAGTGTATGTGAAAGGCATACCATGTGCTTCAGTTGGAATAGGTTAAAATTCTTTTAAACGCGTATTTTGATAATGTCATTCTTTATCAGAAATAAGCAAGGAAGCGGAGGAAATAAAAGAAAGGTATACAAAATGCACGTATATTTTTATATATACATTATATTATTCTATTCTATAGAATGGTGCAATTAAATTTATGATTTAATATAAATAATTGTATATTATGATATTTTAGTTTAATGGTCATGTTAAAACAACAAAGAGGAAGAGAAAGAATGTAAGTAAATCTGTACCTGAAGATAATGAAAGTATTGCCAGTACAGATGAAGAACTTGCAGAAGAAAATCAGAGGTGTGTATATATTATTAAACATGGGTTTGTTGTTTTTAACAGTTATTGTATATGACAGAGATGAAGAATATGAAAGTGAAGAAGAAGAGGAGACAGCTCAGGAAAAACGTGTAAGACTTGCTAAGAAATATCTTGAACAAATCGAAGAAGAAGGTAAAATTTAAATAAAATATTTTTTGTGTAACATACTATTTATATTTTAATATCAAATTTATACAAATACAGAAAGAGATAAAATAGAGTTTCAAGAAGGTGCAGTAACAAGAAGATTACACGAGGAATATTTAGAAGAAAAAGGAAGGTTACGAAAAACTGTAGCCTCAAATTATGTTAACTATGCTGAACCAATTGTTCTGAAATGTAAAGAACACAAAAATTCAATTACATGTTTATCTCTCTCTAGTGATGGGAAAGTTTTATATTCTGGTTCAAAAGATGGTAGTTTGGTCAAATGTATGTTATTTCTAATTAAAAAATTATTGAATTATAATAACAGTTTTATATTAATCAATATTATAAATTAGGGTCTTTGAAAGAAAGAACTAAATTAAAAGCCATTAAAGGAAAAAGCAAATCACAGGATGGAATAAAATGTGTACAATGCTTAGCAGTTAGTACCGATGGTAAATTTTTGGTTAGATAACGATATAATCTCTTAAAAGCAACCGTTCTTATATAAATGAATGAAACAATGTGACTATGTTTTTGCCAGGCATACCAATTCTGTATTATTTGAAAAAGTTACTAGCTATTTCAAAATTTCAGATGCTGTAATGCTTTTCTGACTATTAGAAGTGCTAGTGTATGTGAAAGGCATACCATGTGCTTCAGTTGGAATAGGTTAAAATTCTTTTAAACGCGTATTTTGATAATGTCATTCTTTATCAGAAATAAGCAAGGAAGCGGAGGAAATAAAAGAAAGGTATACAAAATGCACGTATATTTTTATATATACATTATATTATTCTATTCTATAGAATGGTGCAATTAAATTTATGATTTAATATAAATAATTGTATATTATGATATTTTAGTTTAATGGTCATGTTAAAACAACAAAGAGGAAGAGAAAGAATGTAAGTAAATCTGTACCTGAAGATAATGAAAGTATTGCCAGTACAGATGAAGAACTTGCAGAAGAAAATCAGAGGTGTGTATATATTATTAAACATGGGTTTGTTGTTTTTAACAGTTATTGTATATGACAGAGATGAAGAATATGAAAGTGAAGAAGAAGAGGAGACAGCTCAGGAAAAACGTGTAAGACTTGCTAAGAAATATCTTGAACAAATCGAAGAAGAAGGTAAAATTTAAATAAAATATTTTTTGTGTAACATACTATTTATATTTTAATATCAAATTTATACAAATACAGAAAGAGATAAAATAGAGTTTCAAGAAGGTGCAGTAACAAGAAGATTACACGAGGAATATTTAGAAGAAAAAGGAAGGTTACGAAAAACTGTAGCCTCAAATTATGTTAACTATGCTGAACCAATTGTTCTGAAATGTAAAGAACACAAAAATTCAATTACATGTTTATCTCTCTCTAGTGATGGGAAAGTTTTATATTCTGGTTCAAAAGATGGTAGTTTGGTCAAATGTATGTTATTTCTAATTAAAAAATTATTGAATTATAATAACAGTTTTATATTAATCAATATTATAAATTAGGGTCTTTGAAAGAAAGAACTAAATTAAAAGCCATTAAAGGAAAAAGCAAATCACAGGATGGAATAAAATGTGTACAATGCTTAGCAGTTAGTACCGATGGTAAATTTTTGGTAAGCATATTCAAACTTCATTTACAGAATATTTGTATATATAATTTCATATAATAATAATAATAATAATAATAATAATAATAATAATAATTCGTGTGATTAAAGGTAGTAGGAGATAGCGGTTGTAAATATATCAGAGTATTTTGTGGAAATACCTTAAATCACATTAAAAATTTGCAAGGTCATAGAGGTAGTGTTACTGGTTTAGTTTTCCGTAAAGGTACACACACATTGTATTCTGGATCCGAGGATAGAAGTGTAAAAGTATGGAATTTAGATGATATGGCATATGTTGAGTCCTTGTAAGTATATCCTTACTACAAGTATTATTTTCATTTAATTTAATTTCATTTCATTCGTTAGATTTGGACACCAAACTGGTGTTACGTCGATTGATGCACTTGCACGAGAACGTGCTATTACCAGCGGGGGTTTTGATGGAACGATTCGAATTTGGAAAATCGTAGAAGAATCGCAACTTATATTCAATGGACATGGCGGTAGTATAGACAGTGTTAAACTTATAAACGAAGAACACTTTCTTAGCTGTGGAGACGATGGACAATTATGTGTTTGGGGTTGCTTAAAGAAGAAGCCTTTGTGTTCAGTGTCAAACGCACACGGAACAGATGAAACTAATAACCAATCAATGTGGATTTCGAGTATAGCTACTTTACTTAATACAGATCTAGTCGCATCAGGTACTAAATATCTTTTCTCATTATTTAATATATTTGTAATAACTTTTTTCTCCGTGTAAAAAGTTTATTTATGTGTGAAAGAATTTTAATTATCTGTGCACATCTATTCGAATTATCGATTATAGGATCACGAAATGGCGTTATTAGATTGTGGCAATGCGGAGATTCATTCAGATCGTTGAATCCGTTATTTGAAATTCGATTGACAGGATTTATAAATGCGCTGTATTTTACTCCGGATGGAACTCAACTTATTGCTGGAGTTGGACAAGAACATAGACTTGGAAGATGGTGGCGCATACCGGAAGCAAAAAATACTATTGTTATAATACCATTAATTCAAACGGAAAATAAATAGCCTAAAATATTTAAAAGAAAATGAATTGTTCAGTTGGACATGGAATTTATATGGTTAAACATAAATCGTATAATTTTTTATATATTCAGTATGAAGAAATTTTTTATCTATTAAAAGGAGTATTGTTTACTATATCATAATTAATTGTTATTTATTCATCGCATATATTTTCCACAGGACCCCATATACGTTGAAAAACCTTGCTTATTATGAAATCGAGTCGTAGACATGCGAATGAAATAAAAGAAATATTGGTCCACAGTACAAGTATTTATTTATTCTGTACAAAAGTTGAGTTATAAAATATTATGTCCCCATTTTAGGTCTTGTTCTTAGTCTTGTATACCATGCCGTCTTGAGTTCGTTCGTATAATAACAATGATTGCCGCAGAGGACATTAGCGTTTACGAGAATGAAGCGATTCGATCATTGATTCATTCATGCCTACTGATAATCAATCAGAGAAATGAGCATCGATTTCGACAAATCGTTTCTTCATTCGTACGTAAGTGCAGCTGTCCTCGCACGAACCTCGAGCTCACCGTGTACATATACAAATCAAATCGACTTTTTTTTCCTTAATTCGCGTATTTGTCCGCGTCAACAAACGTGTACAGCGCGCTTACGCTACTTCTTGTATGCATTCTTGCAGGGAAGTTTTTCAAACGAGTGCGACAACCTAGGCCTTTCAATATGGCTTTCTTTCATCGTTTCACGTGCTTCGTGTGGTTTTCGTTTCTTTCTTTCTTCTTTTCACTCTTATTTAGGACCTTATAATCGCAAGTATGCTTTTACGCGGATGACTGAAGCAGCATTGCTTTCCGCCCGATTAGTTTCTTCTCCATTGGCTCTACTTTTCCGAAAAGTTTATGTGCTTCGTCACGTTTTGACTAAAATACTTCTCTTTTGTCTCGTTAGTCTCGCGCTTCTTTTCCCGAGTTGCGCGATCCTTAAGTTTTGCACGTTTCGAATCAGGCATCGCTTTCATTCGATCATTTTTTTACCTTCGTTCCTTTCTTTTCTTTTTCTTCGCGAGTTCGTCTGATTTGTCGACAAATCAATGAAATTTCTCCGGATTATCATAGAATTCAATGGTAAATCATTTTTGCACTCATCTTGTTTAACTCTGCCCAAGGAGAAGGAAAGCGATGGCACGAAAATGGCACCGGTTAAAAGCTAACTTTCAAAAACTTAACGCTAACTTCCGTTAATAGACCAGTTTATCGTTGCATTTTGCCTTCGAAGTGCCGCTTGGAGAAGAAATACGTACAAGTGTATTTCTTTAGTGGTCCAAGTACAATGCGTGCGAACGTGTAAGACAAGACTTATGTGTGACCGCAAACGAATATCGTAAACGCCGGAAATCATCATACAGCACGCTTACAAGCACACTTAACATTTTTTCGCATCGTTCTATATAATATAAACTCGTTCTATATAAACAATCGTACAACGATTTAGGCTCCAAATCGCGCCTCATATCAGCACGTCACGTCACAGAGGAACTGAGTTTTCATTGCAAAACGCAGAGCGTTCGCGAAATTTTGCACCGCAAAAATATTTCGTTTCAGTGTACGAGTTTTTCGCATCGATTTAGAATTGTTAAACAACTTTAAACAACATGACGAACAGACCTTACAGTTTTCGAGTGGGGAAACGATTCGTTCGAGCGCATTTCTTATTACATTTTTTCCCTTTCTTTCAGACACATTTTCTTTCCAACGATTTATTATAAGTCCTGTCCTACGTGGCGACAGTTTTGCACTTAAAATAATTGTATCCAGGGCTCGCTGAAACTATCGTCAGCCGCGAGTCGCTTGGCAAGTCGAGAGATTCGTTGTCTGTGAGGCATACACGGCTGAAAGCCTTAGGCGAATCGAATGGAGGCTTAATTAATCGGATCGAATCGATTGAAACAAGTGGCATGGTCGCGTGCCCGTGACGGGAACGCGGCTCGAAACATAATCATCTTCCTTTTCGGCATCGTGAATCGTGAGATTTCGTATACTACGCGTAAACCGCGGTTTTCTCTATTATGTATATACGCTATGTACATTTGATCTCATAAAGCACATGACATCCGGATCAATGCGAGCACTTTCGCAAATTATTTCCATTCATATCGCTCTTCGACACGATGTTCCGACCGTGTTCGAAGAATTACAATAGGACGTTTTTACGACACGAAACAGCATGTCGTTGATATGTTATCGGCAAGCTTAAATGATCGAAATGTTTCAATAGAGGCAGACTGTAGTAGAATAATTCGAACGAAAGGGCGGTCTTGAAATGAGGAAAATGAAGGGATGAAATGGCGGATTTAATGAATTCAGTCTTAATTAAATTCAGTCGGTGTCGATATTCTTTTAAGAATATTCTAAAATACAGGCTTATGGAATGTTGCTCCGTTTCATTTAGAAAAGAATTCCTAAATAGATATTTACGCGACACGTTTTACTTTCTTCCTTTTCATCCAACGGACTAATGTACTTTAACGATTTGACGAGATATTCGAAAGAATGTCGAGGATCGTTGTGTAGGTATAAAGAAATTTATGAAAACGATTCGATTCTGTCATTGACACAGGCGAATCGTCGAGTGATATCGTGGATATTATGTGCTTTTTAAGATGTACTGCTCGTGAATGTAGCGCGCTCGTCTTCGACAGACGGTGATTCAACTTTCGATGGAACGTGGAACGAATTGGAGCGATTTGTATATATGTAATCAGTATCGAAAGACTCGCGAAATTCAAGAATGCGATCGAACCGGACATCCGCTTTCGCTGCGAACTCACATTCCTCCATACTTATAGCTTCTCCCTCTCTTTTCTTTCTTTTTCACTTTTTCTTAACATTCGTTTTGCAGGGTAGGACAACGAACAAGTTACGGCTACGATAATTACCAATCTCTTTCGAGGTTATCGACGACGGTAATTCAAAAATGGCAGTTTTCCGCGATTTTGTTACACTTTTTGCTCGACGTTTCACGCGACGCAAGAAGAATCGTCGTTTTACGTCTGTGCGTTAGAATTTCACGCCGTTACCCGCGATGATCGAAGCATCCGGAATTCTTCTAATCGATCAAAGCGTACATCGACAAAGGAACAAAGCAAAAATGAAAAGAAAGCTCGCACGAGATCGCGCGGACAAAAAGTTTGAGCTTCGATAGAAACGTAATTCAACCTATCGATTTCCTCTTGCATCTCGTGCTCGCAGTATTTCGAAAGAGCGATAAAAAATGTATACGTAATATCGGTAAAATCCGAAAAATCAGCGCAACAAAGCGTATATCGGTGATTTGTGTTCAGCGTTCTCATAAATATTCCTCGAAATCATCGCGAATGTAGTTTTACTCGCAAATCGTTTTCATTCGTTCAAAAAATAGATGCATTTCCAAAAACGAACTCGAGGGGATCCGCGATGCGTTTACAACCATTCGAATGGGACAGGCAACGATCGTTTAAATATAATTCTTTTTACAACCAATTTCATTCCAGGAACTCATTAATGCCTGTCAAGGGTTTAACGAAAGAGGCGTGACACGCGATTTCCTCAAATTTACCATTTGGCACCGTGAATCCCTCGGTTCGTAACAACCCACGCAAAGGTGCTCGTCGCTGATGGCCTCAAACGCAAAAAAGGAAACCTGATTTCTTCACCGAATCCGCGAACTAGTACTCGATACCCTGGTATCTGAACCGCGTGGAACGTGGATCGCACGCATCTCGTCCATCGAGAGAGCATTTCTTCTTCTTCTTCTTCTTCTTCTTCTTCTTCTTCTTCTTCCTCTTTTTCATTTCCTTCCTTTTCTTCCATTCTTTCTCTTTTATATTCCTCCTTTTTGTACTTAAACGATTCGAGACGACTCGCGCAAGGTACTTTCAAAATGAAACGCTTCGACGCCGACGTATTCGTCGTACGCGTCGACGTACTCTGTATGTGTTATGTGAGTGAGTATGTACGTGTATTATTATTATTTTAATGGGGGACGCCCGGTCTCCCAGTCCGGCATTTTAACATTTTCCAGTTATTTTTTTCTCTTTTTTTTTTTTCATTTTGTTTCGTTTGTTTTACTTTCGTTTTCCATCGATATATGTGATCGTATATCGACATGCATAATACAATATAGCTATATAAATCGCGCGACGCCGACGAGTCTACGATTAGCGCGTCGTCAACCCTCTTCGCTACCATACTCTTTCATTTTCTTCTTCTTCTTCTTCCGTTTCTTACAGTGAACTCACGCGCTTGGCGTTTTCCGTCGCGTGGTCGTCGAAATCGCGTCGCTTTTTTTTGTATATGTGTATATCGTGTCTCTGTATCCGTGTGTGAGTGTACATTTAAATATATACTTTTTTTTTTGTTTTCATATCTTTAGAATAACATCGCTTTCTTCGCGACGTCCTCGAGAGTGTACGACTGCCCGTATCGCAATATGTGCCAATATACGCGTATACATGTGTCTTGTGCACGTGTCTGTCTGTATGTGTGGAGAGTGTGTGGGTGTGCGTGTCTTGCACGTACTTCATGAAGATCGATTCACGTTTACTGTGTACTTTTTATGGTTACCTGCAATTTTTTTGACGATTATGTCTTTTTTCCGGTTTTTTTTCTTTTCTTGTTGCTTGTTGTCTGCTTGGACTGTTTAAACACTATTTCGCTACAAGTGGACTACCATTATGAACACTACGCTACTTTGTATTGTACCTGTAATGCTTTGTAATGAACGACTGTACTGTACTGAACGTGCATACTTGGTGAGCACACGCAATCTATAATTGATCCCGTTCACGAATGCCACACGTGGACCGCGTTACTCTTTTTGCAATCTCTGTTTCTTTTTACGTCTCTATCCGGTTCAATTTCGATAGAATCGATCCGAGGCAAGAAAAATAATTGCTGTGTAAATTTTCGTTGCGTCATATAATTGGAAATCAGGCCGTTTGATTGTCGGACAACGCTAAACCGATCGGGACTATCTAAATCGTTGATAGTTTCTTTCTCCAAGCCGGTTATGATGTATCTCTTCGATTAATCGAATAAACCCGTGCGA